GATAGTTGTCGCGGAACGTACATCGAGGTTGTCCTGAGTACTACTAAGTTTTAGAGCAATAAGCAATTCTACGGTTCTTGAGGAGGTGCCATGAGGTACCAAAAATTTAGTGTAAAATCTGGTATCTCGTAGTACTAGGTACTTTTTTTTTAAGAGGTACCAAATTTATAATAGAAAAAATGGTACCTCATGGTACCTCCTCAAGGACCGTAAAATTGCTCTAAGTTTTATCTCAAGTAAAGATAGCTCTAATCCAGTAGTTTACACAACCGGCATACTATTTTTATTTGACAGGGGTTCACAAAATAATTCCTTCCCAACATAAAAGGAGCTAGCAAGTTGTTCAGCCCAATGAACAGGGCATGAAGATAAAATAACGAAACTGCTTCCAGAATAGCAGGATATGCTATGGCCATCTCTTGCCCTTTTATGCAGATGACATCTGCAAAATAGATTAAATCCCATGCAAATCATTTTGTCATTCATATGTCATCTACCCGAAGAACAAAGTAGTTCTCAGAATATGCCAGAATTTATAATAATACTATGTCAACTACACAGCTCTTGGAGAAGCTCATCTGCTCATCTGCTGATTTGTCATTTTCTTTTTTTTAGATAATGATTTGTCATATTCCTATGGAAGCCTAGGGTACCAAATTAACAAGTGCCAACAAGGTTCTCTTTTGAGAACAACAAAAGCTGCATTATTATTGCGCTACATGGTTAGTAAGAGCACATGATTGTAATGTTGTTTGGCGGCGGTAAAGAGCCGCTGCAAGATTGAGTTATTTGTCTTTTTTTAAAAAAAATCGTTAACACTGATAAAGTGACAACTAGTTCACAAAATATTTTGAGAACATCAAAAGCTAACCATTTCCAGAACATTTGTCAGAACAGTGGAATCACCAAAATGTACGACGCGCATCATTTTATATGTGAGATTTGTGTGGTATAAAGACATACAAAATTGAATTTTTATTAATTTTGGACTTTTTGATTGTTTCATTTAAACCATTATTAATTTTTTACTTTTTGATTGTTTTATTTAAACCATTCTAAAACTTATTTTTAAAATCTGAATCTTTTAGCGACGTCACCCCGTCACAAAATAATACTGTCACCTCACCCACAACGAAGGTTGCAACGCCAGCAGATTGACATGGGCAAATAAAGTTGCCATGCTATTCAGACTGGTATGACATTGTTGTTTTGCCACACTAGCCCAGGTGGTGTGACTGAAAGGTTTAGATTTTGAAAGGGTTTATTTCTAAAAAAAATTATTCCAATTTATTTCTAAAAATTAAAAATGAAAAAAGGTAAAAAAAGTAAAAAAAAAGATCGCAAAATTGAGGGACATTTCACTTCTTGCCACTTTTAAGATGTGTCGCCACTCGTTTTCTATGACATGTGGGTCCTCATGTGTCTATAACATGTAGATCTAGTAGTATATAATTTAGCACCACTCATAAGACGGCCTTGCTGTGGGTTTTTTAATCGGTACTGATGCTCAACACGACAACATCACTGCCGATTTACAACATTGTTTGGGCCGGAAACCATTCTGAAATAACAGTGATTTTTTTTAGATAATGGAATGAAACATTTCGGTCTCTGCTCAAGAGCTACAGCCAATGAAATAGCAGTGATTACCAATCACTACCGATACACAAGGAACCAGCAGTTATGTGCTAGCGTGTAATGGAAAACGCAAATGTTTTTCGTGCTAGCGTGTAAGCATTGTGCTTTAATATACTCACGCACCTACACAACGTCATGTCACTAGGAGAGGATAGTGATATAAATAATATCCTGTGAATTTAAACATACTACATGTATGTTTTCAACTTTAAATATAGTAGCAAGTGCAAAATCATGTGATGATTTAATTCGAAGTGATGAACATTTGTCAAATGTAAGTGTTGGTTGAAAATACGGTAAATAGTGTTTTCAGAAGTTGTTGGCTCTGGGTGGCCAGTCAGACTATAGGTATATGTGGCCGGTCTGACCAGGTGGCTCAACGGTCTGAACAGGGATAATTTATTCTATGTGATAAACAATTTTCAAATGTAAGTGTTTGTGAAAATACAATGAATAGTGTTTTCGGTTGTTAGCTCTGGTGGTCGGTTAGACTGGGCGGGTGTCGCCGGTAAGACCGGCAGACTCTAGGAGGGAGCTGGTTTCGGGTTGATTTCGTGGAATTTCTAGATTGCTTCATGTTTATGACTTTTAGATGATTTCTATTCGTATGTGATACTATTGTGTGTTGATTGAGTCAAGTTGGTGCGATATTGTACTTGAATATGGAGTTTCTTTGTTATTCGTGTGCTGGTGTTGCTTGAGACCATGAGATTATAGCCGGTGATGGATCGGGACTAGGCTTAGGAGAAGTTGAGGTCCAAAGAGTCAAAAATATCACGCGGGGATGCTCAGGCTAGACAACAATGCACGTGGAGGTGAATCTTTCCATATGGTATACATGTGGTGTTGTGTGCAAATAGAAAGTGAAGTCAAATTTGGATTTGAGTCCAAGTTTGAAAAGATTGAAATGTGAAGTTGTATGGGGATGTTAAGTTGTTTCCCTCGTTTGTTGGGTTTCCTATGTGATTAGCAGTTCCAGTTCTAGTAGGATTCATGGTTAGGGGCATGAATGTTTTAGGTATAAATAGTAGAAGGGTTGTGGCTAGAGACATATTGGGTATAACGATTTTTTTGGGACACAAAAGTTAGGGTTTTCTTCGAGCTTTTAATTCTAGTTAAGAGAGAACTCAACTTGATAGAACAAATTAGATATACTTTCAAGAGTTTCATCGAGACGTGTTTTTTGGATCTCGACGGTCAAACCGGCATCTAACGAACGGTCTAACCAGCGGGCGGTCCAACCAGCGACATGCATGTGGTCCAATCGGTGGTGAGGCAGCGGTCAGACCGGCGGCATCAAGAGGTTGCGACAGCGACCAATGTACTGGTCAAATCGGCTAGACAACACCGGTTAAACCGGCAGCAAAGGTGTAGTCAGACCGGTGTGAACATGTTAGTCTGACCGGATCTCGATCGAATTTGTGGGTAACTTTTATTTCCGCTAAATATTTTGGTTTTTGGTGTTCCTACCATTCACCCACACTCCCCTCCTCTTCTGGTAGACTTGGTTGCTAGTGTTCAATCCTACAACAAGTACATTGTAAGTATATCTGTATAGTAATACTACGAAATTGCAAAAGGAAAAAATCACCCAAATAAGAATAGGTTTAAAGGCAATATCTTTGACAATTATAAGAGCCTACTTAATAGATGCAGGAGGCAGGACTAGAGATCACTTTAACTGAGCAAAGCATGCATTCCCTGAACTGGATATTAGACGTAGGATGGTTCAAGGTAGCTACCAAGCATTGCAGGATATTACAACACACAATGGAAAGTACTAAAATTGAGTACTGAAAAAAATGTCGAGTCCTAATATATCTGTTCATCGTCTCATCGATAAGCTAGGCTTGGTAGGCGACAGGATTCAGCATGGCATGATCTGCAAGCATGCTTGTTGTGTGCGCTGGAGCATAAGCTCTAGCAGTACTTCGAGCACATCACCTTAGTCTTTTACACGTTGCCCTTAACTCTTTACTTCACCACTCTCTTGGTTTGATCGCAGCCGCTCATTCTAGGATGTTACATGAATGCCAGATGTTCGTTGGGCAATTATGTTTATTTCCATGTGAAAACTAAATCTAACAAATTAGGAGCAGGATCTTAGTCTAATCTACCCGTATCTCATGCCAAGTTTTTTCTTGCCCATATTTTTAACTAAATATGTGAAATTCAAGTAAGAATTCTTGATGTGAAAATAGTGGCAAAATCACAAAAGGCCTGAGAAAAGTTCTCTTAATAGAATGAGGGGAAAATGCAAGCTTTATCTTTTAAAAGAAATTATGGCAAATCACAAGGTTGGAAAAGAAGGGGTAAAATCATCGTATTGGAGTTGAAAACAAGGTAAGAATGCAATTGTCCCTTCTCTTATATGTCCCTAAACATCGCTGAAAGATTAACAAAAGTGTTTGGAGAATTTGACGGTCGCATGTTTCTACAGAGAGGGAGGAGTAAGAGATCATAGAGGGTGAGACACTAAAACATATCAGTAGGGAAAATGGAATCGTAGAGGAGGAGGACATATGCATCAGAACGTTAAAGAATTAGGGCAGTTGGTGGTGTGTAGTGTGAGCTAAGGGTATTTGATCGGGTCTCCCATTGCATAAAAGTATTATCAGACTTTTTTCCTTAGAAAGATCGAGAGGTTTGCGGTTTTAAAAAATAAATTAAATATGTCTAGAAGAAAATGCTAGCGTATACACAAGGGTGGACCAAGATACTAAACAACCTAAACCATGGCTTTATGTTCAAGATTTCGCCATATTGGGTTAAATACAGACAAAAAAAGTCCTCGATTGATCCGTTTCTTTATATACACACAGTACAACAAAATGTGCTCACCAAGTAATTCTATACTATTATATCATAAAATTAAGCAGTTCCACGTGAAATTTGTATAATAAATGCATACTATAATCTAAGTTGCGTTAGCAAGACAGGGGCATGCGTGCATTAGTTGGGCCCGCAAAGGTGCAAATGGTACGAAAATTAAACACATCTCAAATTTTAAACACATCTCGCGTATTACCACCGATCAGTAATAAATCACCAACATACTTTGATTCGAAATGTAATAGACTTCCAAGCCATAGTCCGAACATGAGTTCCGAGTCCATCTCCAATTATACGGACGATCAAGAACAGAAGCCGAATATATCATAGAGACGTAAAAATCACACCTTTAAATTAAATCTCTTTAATCACATCGCGAAATAGTAACGTCGTGTCGTGTCCGTGATTAGGTGAAAAACTGAAAAGACGTGCGAAATTAGGTCGCATCTTGAAATCAAAAGCGAGTCGGCGTAATATTCCGAATTCTTCTCCTTTTGATTTATCTATCTTTTTATATAGTTTTCCTGTATACAGCCCAAAAGGCCCAAACTCTCTCTCTCTCCCGCAAACAGCACAAAAAGGCAGCAGCTTTGCTCTGCTCGGGTGTTCCGCCGCCACCGCCGCCGCCGACGAATCACTCCGGCGGGCTCTTCCCTCCTCCTCGTCGTCGTCCACCGGCGACCGGCGCTTCGTACGGTGCGTCTCCTTTCTTGCGGAAAGATTCTTCCCTTATATTTTTATTTTGCCGGTTGATCATGGGTAAAGAAACCATGAGGGGAGGAGGGTTAATTTTAATCTGCTATTGTTCTTGTTCTAGTTGTTTTTTTTTTGGGTTCAATTTCGATGAAGCTTTCGTTTTCCGTTGTGGTCGCTGGATTCATCTGCTGGGTGTTTCCGTGGAAATCTAGGTTTTCAGGTTTGGGGGGCGCACTGGGAATTGGGCATATGAATAGTTGGGGATGTAGGAGAATTGTAGTAATGCTGATCGTTTGGTGGAATTTTAGCCGATTATCCAAAGTTAAATTCCTTTGCTGATGATAGGCTGATTCTTGATTTTGAAAAACCTTTTTTTTATGCCGCAGCTTTTTTGGCTGGAGTCGGGAGTTTAACTAGTATCTTGTTAGGGTTAGTCCTTGCTGTTACTTTTGTTGTGTTTTTGTCACCTTGTTGGTAAAAACGAGCATCCTCTTGGAAACGATGGAGGCTTAAGGAAAACCTTTTTTAGTGCATAGATTTTATAATTCACTCTGTAACTACCCACATAGTCGCGCTTTGCATGACTTTTGATTGTTTAATAAATTTTGTGTATGATCTATTAGTTTAGGTAAGCTTTTAAGAAGGTTTTGACATAATAAGTTAATTTGTTTACAAAGTATTGATTTCCCTAGCCAACTATAGATTTAGCTAAGTTGTACTATATGTTTATAAGAGAAGTCACTATAAGCCTCATGTTTCTTCTCTTATCCCCTCTCTTTTTTATCATGTGTCTAGGAGGTGGTACCAAAACCTCCGGAAATTTTCATATGTTTAGCCTATTTGTGGTTTTTTTTAATACATGTACCCTTTTGAACCAATGGCCATTGTTTATCCAAACCCTTCATCTCATTGTGTAATGTATCGACACCTCTATGGATTAGTATATTTGTTGAAATTTGTATACTGCGAATTCAGTGTATTAACTCATGATTTTAGGGGTAGTACTTAGTACTTGCTATCGATTATTCAACAGAATGAAGCTGTGCATTGCCTTTTTTTTTAAAAAAAAAGAAAGAAATTCAGGTTGTCAATGTATAGTATATGTTATGTCCTGTGGTGGTAGGTGTTTCTCTTTTTTTTTCTATCATGGAGTTTATCATGGTGCTTTTTACTGTTCAACGGTACGATGATATGATTGTGTCTCACATAATTTACAAAAATTTTGACTGTCTTTAAGAGATTCTGCCTATTAATAGGGTCAAGGAATGAATTATGGCCCACTTACTGATTTAATATATTGGGTAAGAGAAATTGATGTGGGATGCCTGATGGCTGCTAAAGGCATTCAGGCCTGAAGAGGTTGGCAGGTTTCCCTATTACAATGATTAAAGAAACTGAGATAACTGACTGAACAGTTGCTCTCTGGTTCATCATTAATTTGTACTTATTTGCATGTAAAATGATCCTTTATTTCAAGTGGATGCTTTTCTTCTGTTAATATATATATGTTAGTGTTGTTTATATTGTCAAAAAGACACATTCTTTTTAATACTTCATTCTATAAGCTTTTCTCTCTTGTTTCACAGAAGATGTTGAACCTCTTTAAGATAAAGGGACAGAAGAAGGAAGAGGCGGCAAATACAAATGGGAGACCTCCTGCTAAGAAGCAAAGTCCAGGAGAATTACGTCTCCATAAAGGTTTGTTTTTGCAGAAGTTTTTTTTTATTGTATTACTTGTGTTATTTGGTTTCTAGCTTTCTGATATTATACTATTCAATGTGTGCTGATTAGTGCTAGATTGAACTTCTCTTTCTTGCTAATTTATGTATTTACATCTCTAGAACTGTGTCATACAAATGAACATGCATTAAACAAGGATCTAAATGCTAACTATTATCTATATATGAAATGTCCGTGAATGTACAAACTATGTTGTACTTTTGTCACCATATTGGTTGAGCGTGTACTTAGCTTTATTGGCCGCTCTTCTATAGAAATATGGACCTTGTGGGGAGTTGGAGGGGGCGAATGAGGCGGTTAGGGATAGGACATGCAGCGTGGTGTGACTTGGGAGTAGTGGGCACTAGCCAGTACTAAACAGGATGTTGGTGGGCTTGAGACAAAGGGTGGGCTGTGGGTGAGTGGGCTGATAGTATCTTGCTGGCCCACACAAGAACATGCTGCTACATGTGACAACCATGACAACATCATGACTTCTACTTAGTATGTGTTAATAAAGAGAAAGATCCAAATGTCCAATTTTAATTTTTACTAAATCTGCATTTTCAACTAAAATCTAATTAACGTTATTTCAACTCAAATTGAACATGTGGCACACATATAATTCGCTTCTGAAATAATTCCATAATGATGTTTAGATATGTTGATTACACTATTGCTAGAAACCTATCTTTTTGTCCAGGCTCCTATTTAAATATTAACATAATAGGCATGACTCTCACTGTCTTTGGATCTTTTTATGTGATGGAAATAGTTCCTTTTTCGTTAGTATAGTTTTTCCAAATATGGATCTCGCTGACTATTGATATTGTATCTTACAGACATTGCTGAGCTTAATCTTCCAAAGAAAACCAACATTACTTTTCCTAATGGAAAGGATGATCTGATGAACATTGAGATTACTCTTCGGCCTGACGAAGGATACTATGTGTAAGTATATTCTAGATGTTTCTTTTAAGCCCATTAAATCTCTTAGCTGTTCTATTACACATGCTCTTATATCAATTTAGTTTTTCTGTACTTCAATTTTGACTGAACATTTAAACTACTATAAAACTTTTTACTGTTGAAAGTTGCCACATGTAGAGTGTTACGAGGCATTGGATGCTTCTTGACATCTTTAAATCGCACGCATTTAACTTTTGATGTACTTGGAGACATGTTTGTTGATAAATATGGTTTAGGAGGATTAGCTCATATTTTACATCACACCTGACGATTTCTCTTGATGTAGAAGGGACAAAGGGTTGTTCCATTCTTTTAAAATTTTCAAATACAAATAAAAGTAGCTAATAATAATCTGTTGTAGATTGCTTTCATTTTTTCATTAGATGTTTCTTTTTGTTCCCTCTCCTTTGCTGTAAAAACATTATGAACAATATGGATGACATATTTGCCCTAAAAAACAGAAGTGATGGTAATTGGAAATAAATCATTTGTGTGTTTTCAATATACACAAGGTGTTACTTTTTTCAGATTATTTCAAATTGAAGTATTCTAACATCCAATGTCTTTTCGTTCATAGGGGTGGAGCTTTTGTTTTCACTTTACAAGTTCCTCCTACTTACCCTCACGAGCCGCCCAAGGTCAAGTGCACGACTAAGGTAACATAGATTCTATTAACTGTAGCCTACTCCTTTCTTTATCGGTTTTTTTTTTCGCGAACGCGCAAAAGAATTGCACATCAATATATTAGAAGAAAATGAATTTTTGTTACACAACGCAATCAGCCAGACCGGCTTATGCCAAGGGAAGGGCTTTATCGGTAATATATTGATCATTTGACCTTGTAGGTTTATCACCCTAATATTGACTTGGACGGAAATGTCTGCCTGAATATCCTGCGTGAAGACTGGAAGCCTGTCTTGAATATCAATACCATTGTATATGGTTTGAACCTTCTTTTCATTGTAAGTATTTGTTTTAGGAACTGATCAATCTTTTATTTTCTATCAGCAATAATGGCTTAGTAGTTTATTTCCTATTGTAAATATGAAGTGGCACATGATTAAACCAGATTGAACCTTTACATGCAGATATGTCTAAACTAGTCTGCTACTTGCCATATTACTATTTTAAATCTCACGTGAAATTGTTGTCTTTGTGGGATAGAACTCACCATTTGCACTGTGTTTTCTCATGTAACAATTATCTTTGCTACATTACCTGCAGCAACCCAATGACGAGGATCCCTTGAACCATGATGCTGCGGCTGTCCTCCGAGATGACCCACAAAAGTTCCGGAGGAATGTTCAGACGGCGATGTCGGGAGGCTATGTCGACAGGGTGCATTTTCCAAGGTGTAAGTAAAGGTGTGTGTTTGCTGGTGCTCTGTGGCTGGCTTCTGCCCACCTTACTCCTGAATACCGTTCTGCAATCTGAACAATGTGACTTGCCCAAGAAATGACATATTTGTGTTACATTTGAGTATGAATGATGCTTGGTTGAAATGTACTGGAATCATGTAAGCGCAACGATGTTTAAACTGAAATGTCAAATGATGTTTGGAACTTGGCAATCGTAAGTGTGAAAGTGAACTATCTTTGACAGTTATGTTTTTTGTTGCTGTGGTTCTTAGTTGCCAACTTAGCTAGATTTAGGGCTTATTCACTTTGATACCATTTTCAACGAACGATACAATTTTTTTAAAAAAAATTGCCAAAAAAAATGTCTACGTTTAGTTTGTTGTCAAATTTGATAAATACATAAAAAATCTTATCAAAGTTTTGGCAATATTATTATCTTGCTAAAATTTTGGCATTGCCAAAATTTAGTAAAGTTTATTTTGGCTATAATCTGAACAGACCCTTATTTTTGCATGCATTGGTGATGGTTGGGGGGGCAGGGGGCAGCAACTTGACTCAACATTAGCATACACCGTATATAAATCACCGATACACGTATATAAATCATCTAGGATTCATAACCACGAGTATCCAAATAAACAACCTGACAGAAACATTAGCATACACCGTATATAAATCACCGATACACGTATATAAATCATCTAGGATTCATAACCACGAGTATCCAAATAAACAACCTGACAGCTACACCAACACAGAGTCCATCAGGCTTTCGGGTTGGCTGGTCTGACTGGCCTAGTCAATTTGGTCCCACATAGCTAGCACCACTTCGCTAAATATCATAAGAGTAAATTGTGTCCATGGTATATAAATTTGGTAGGTAGGTACGATCTAGTGTAACAACTTGAAAAATGATCATTTAGGTGCAACAACTTGGCTAGTACGTGCATTTTGGTTAAAGAATCAATATTAGACACCACACCTTTTTTAAGCCACGTAGTAAAAAAAAGAGCAGTCGTCGTTGCCAATAATCTAATAAGTATAATGATTGTCAAATAATAATGGTCTAGATGTATTGTATTTGCTTGCTTACAATAATAAATAACCTGTCGATTTGAAACCAAAAATATAATGATCGTTAATTGTATTCATGATCATTTTTCAAGTTGTTACACTAGGGGCAAAAAAATTGTTGTAACATGATTTCCGAGCGATTCTACTAGTCAAACATATTCAATTATACTCAGGACCAATAATCTAGTAGTTATGCTTATAATAGAACAAACAAAATAGGTTGAATCATATGTATGTAACAGCGTTTTGACCAAAATGCACTTGATTGCCAAGTTCATGTACCAGTTTGCATATTTTTTAAGTTTTTGCACTAAATTGCACCCACCTGGCAAGTTCTTATACTACTGTGCAATTTACTCATATCATAAATATCAAAACCAGTTATCTCATATATCATTGTTCATCACAAATTAATAATCGAAACATATATTGATTTCCCATTAGATACCATCATGTACTTTTAGCTTAAATTGTGTTGTAGAGTTAGTCTTAGGGGTACCCAATACACACCCCTAGAGTCAGTCTCAGGGGTACCCAATGCACACCCCTGTCACCCCCATGACCACAAGATGTTTCCACTTGACTAAATTTAATCCATTTCCAGCCCCTAATATGTTAATCCTTAATCCTTATAAGATTCCAGCAACTGCATACATCGTGGAACATATTCAATTGCAGTTTTATACGAGCAGGCTGTTCAGCAGAGTGCCACAAAGTGAACTGGCATGGCACCTAAGGGTGCAAACCATATGGAAATTCCTACCCATACAGTTTCCATAAACAGTAATAAAAAATGATATTGTTTCTGATTGCTTCTGTTTATAGGTATATGTAAAATTTAGGTTTTCTATTTTTTATTTGCATTTTTTTTGAAGTCATCAAAGAATAGTTAAATTCACAAACACAGAAAATTCCTAACCGTACCAATACCGCTCCTCAAAAATAATAAAAAATGATATAGTTTTCGACCGCTTTATCCCTAATAGCACCCAGTATATATATAATCTGCAGGATAATGAAAACCCTGGATGCCTCAGGATCTTCAGGCTTGGACCTTGTAAGTTCATTTTATCAAATGCTTCACCATTTGCAATTCAGATGCATTCATCAACACCAGAGTCTAGCACTCGATGTTCAGTCGTTCAAACTCTGATGTGACAGTCTTTAATTTTGTGTGAAACATGAATACATGTTGAAAAGTAGTACTACGCCAGAAAATACGATTTAAGGTACTGAAATGTTTGTATTGTCGGTTACTGGTGTTTCTGTAATTTATTCATGTACCTTTTCTGTCCTAAAATATAAGCACTTTTAAAGTTTTTCACGAGAATTAAGTAGAGAGGCTAAATTGTGATGTGTTGAAATGAAAAAGCGATTGAGAAATTAAATGTTAGACGAACAATTGATTGAGATAAAGAAGTAGGTAGAAAAATAGCTAAGTCGATAGAAGTACTGTATTTTGGAATGGAGAGAGTACTTATGTGCATGAGAAATTACCAATTTACCATTGTTCAGGGCAGTCAGTTTCAGTTGCAGCACTGTGTGATCTTGTTCAGTTCTGGAATTATAAAATGGTGATTTCAAGTCGCTGATGCTACGCAAGTCTTCACGTCTGTTTCATGAGAAAAGTCTGATGCTTCCAGTCTGTAGACAATAGGCTTTTCAGAAACAGGTGAACTCTTGGATACTGTAGTATATTTTACTAGTGTATCGTATTACTTCAAGCAATGGCAAGATAAATAATTAGCAACAGATAAGTAGCACTGACTAAACTATGTGATCACTTAGAAAAGGTCAAACCGAAACACATACATTTCTTGATGACAGATAGCCTATCCGTTCCGAAGTACATAAACTAATTAAAGTAGAGGGAAAAGATTCTCCCTTGTGACTTTGGTGGTCAAATTGTACATTTTGAATTATTTATATTCCCTTCCTAAGAATCCCATTTGTTGAAAATTAATAGATTTCTGTGTATTGGAATTAAATTGTTCCCATAAATATTTATATTGTGGTACAAATTTTGTATCCTAAAAATTTTCATATTTTGAAACGGACAGAGTACAAATCTTTATAAACACAAAACTTAAAAATAGTGCAAAAGGTCAGCCCAAAATGATGACAGAGAGCTACAGATAGTAGCAGGAAAATCTTCACGTACACTTCAAATTCCACCAGAGGTATGACGCTGATGCCAACTCTGAATTTTCAGTTTCCTGAAAGGCGCAAAGAACGGCGAGAATTGGGGATTGCGATGTTTCAGAATTTTATAAGGAGAAGCAATGAGCATGGCAAGATCGCTAGAGCCTAGAGATAAGCTGCACTGACTGTTGACTCCAACTATGGTATGGATGAAGAACTGATGAGTCAGACATATGCATGTGATCGTTTGACTCTGAAATGTTCAGAGTTTCCGGCCTGTCCTATTTAAATCGTCCCATGACCATTTGACGGATGAAAGCGACTGCTAATCTTTAATTTTTTGTTGATGCTCAGATAGCATTTATCATTTTAATTTAGTTCTGCTGGTGAGGTGTAGCTCAACTATAGTGTCAGCATTGCATCAGGCACAAATGATGTTCAGATAATATCTACTTTATCCACTGATCTAGCTCAACTGTGGTGTCAGCATCGCATCAGTCACAAATGACCTAGGTAAAACTGTTAATTACAAGAGAAATATTGGTGCCACGATGGTCTCTGTCACACTATAATCGTTTTAGAAGCAAATCGTTCCTGCAAAATGAAGAATTATCTGCAACACACCTTGCAAAAACATCAAAGCAAATCTACAGGTTTTTTAGAGAAAAGGTCAACACCCGGCTTTTTATCGAAAGCCACATAGGCAGTGTTTCAGGCTTTCAGCTGGGGGCAGAGACACTGCCTAGATTTATTAACATATATGCTATGAAACGGAGAAAGTGACTACTTTCTCCGTTTCATAGCATATATGTTAATAAATTAGACATATATGTGTGTCTAGATTCATTAACATCTATATGAATGTAAGCAATGTTAAAAAGTCTTATAACCTAAAACAGAGGTAGTACTTAGCTCTAGCCAACTAGCAAAACCAGAACTCTACACAAATCTACAAGTTATATTGAGAATAATTTCAAGAATTCAGAACACTGCATTCCTTGTGCATCATCAAGATCCATTAATCAGCCCACCACTACACTGAATCGAATTCTGAAGAACATGAAACTAAAACTATAGACACACGAGCACACACATGCATTAACCCTCTGACCTCTTCTTTTGCATCAATCGAAGATCAAAAAAGCTACTGCCACATGAACAATTCAAGATCAAGTCTTAATCACCACCCACTAAAACCTTATTAAACCATCATCAATTCATTATCATCATCATCTAAACCTCCGACGAGCCGGACTTGGCGGCGGCGGTTGGCATGGCGGCCATCTGGTGGTGGTGGTGGCCCTGATACTTGGGGTCCTTCCTGACGATGCGCTTCCAATACCAGTGCTTGTCGAAGAGCATCCAGATCTCCTCGATGGGCACCTGCTTGGTCTCCGGCAGGAGGAGGATGACGAAGATGGACATGACGACGATGAGCGCGGCGAAGAGGATGAACACCCCCCACCGGAGGTGGCACATGGCGGCGAGGAAGCACTGCGCCACCGCCGCCGTCCAGAACAGGTTGACGCACACCACCACGCTCTGCCCCGCCGACCTCATCTCCAGCGGGAACAGCTCGCTCGGCACCAGCCACCCCAGCGGCCCCCACGACCACCCGTAGGCCACCACGAACAGGCAGATCGCCACCACCAGCACCGTGCCCACGCCCTTCGATAGCTCCTCGCCGTGCCCGAACTTGAGCGCCAGGATCACCGCCACCACCACCTAAGCATTTCCACAAACACCTTGCCGGCGTCAGTCCTCCGAGCACCGTCAAAGAAAAATCAAGAAACGTCTGTGTAGTGTACTGACCATGGAGGAGATCATCTGGATGCCGGCCTCGATGAAGAGGAATCTGCGGCCGAGGCGGTCGACGACGACCATGGAGACGAGCGCGCCGACGACGAGCATGGATCCCGTGATGATGGAGGAGTAGAGCGCGGCGGAGTTGCCGAAGCCGAGGCTCTGGAAGATGACCGGCGAGTAGAAGAGTATGGAGTTCATCCCGGACAGCTGCTGGAACGCCGGGATCCCGAGCGCCCCAATGATGAGCTGCGGCCGGTTGCGCGCGGCGAGCAGGCTCCTGAACGTGCCGCGCACCGCCCTCGCCGCCTCGCTCGCCTCCCTCAAATCCTCGAACTCGGCGTCCACCTTCCTCGTCCCCCTCACCTTCTCCAGCACCCGCCTCGCCTCCTCCAGCCGCCCCATCTCGACGAGGCTGTTGGGCGTCTCCGGCAAGAACAGCGCGCCGACGAAGATCGCGGTGGCGGGGCCCATGGCGAGCCCCAGCGACAGCCTCCACCCCCACGGGTGGATCTTGTCGGTGAAGTAGTTGATGACGTCGGCGACGAGGATGCCGAGGCAGGTGGTGAGCTGGAAGAGCTGGTTGACGGCGCCGCGGATGTTGTAGGGGGCGATCTCGGAGAGGTAGAGGGGGACGGCCTGGTTGCCGAAGCCGATGCCGACGCCGAGGAGGAGGCGGCCGGCGATGAGCATGGCGACGTTGGCGGCGGCGGCGTTGACGGCGCCGCCGAGGAAGAAGCTGACGGCGCCGACCATGATGGTGGCGCGGCGGCCGCGGCGCCTGGTGAGGTGGGAGGCGGCGAAGGTGGAGACGAGGCCGGCGAAGTAGAGGGAGGAGGTGAAGAGGGTCAGCACCTGGTTGTCGTACTTGCAGTAGTCCGTCTCGTGCAGGTGCGCGCTCTTCCGCGCGTACACCTCCGGGAAGAACTTGATCAAGAAATCGTCCATGGCCGTCACACCACCTGCACATTGAGAGAGAGAGAGATCGATTGGTTTTTTTTTTCTTGCTGATTTCTTCTTCGATAACATTGCAGTTGCAGTCTTGCAGAGCAAAAAGATCGCAGTTGTTCAAATATTGTAAAGAATCAAGGTTTGCATTCTTGAAAATATTGTTAGAAAGAGTTGGAAGCATAAAGAACTTGATCAGATTATACTGCCATGCAATCCTTTTGCATGTTAAAAAAAAAAGCATAAAGAACTTGATCAGGAAGTCGTCCATGGCCGTCACACCACCAGAATATTTTGATTTTTTTTAAGAAAGAGAGAGAGAGAGAGAGATTGGTTAGTTTTCTTGTTGATTTCTTCTTCGATAACATTGCAGTTTTGCAAGTGTTGTACAAAGATTGGAAAACATCAAGGTTTGCGTTCTTGAAAAAGATTGTTGGACAGAAATGAAAGATTAAAGAATTTGATCAGGAAGTCGTCCATGGCTGTTACACCACCTGCACATTTTGATTTTTGATTTTTTTTTTTTTTGAGAAAGAGAGATCGATTGGATAGCATTGCAGTTTTGCAAGGATTGTTCAAATATTGGAAAGCATCAAGGTTTGCGTTCTTGAAAAGACTGTAATTTTTGCAAAGTGCGCTTCTGCAAAGATTGTACTATGAAGCATCAAGACTGCATTTTTGGCAAGACGGTTCAACAAATTCAAAGCAGATGACTGCACTTATGTAAAGAAGTGAAGACTGTTCGGTCGATAATTGAAAAGCATCAAGTTTGCATTTTCCAAAGATTGTTCTGCAATTGCAAAGCATAAAGTTTGCGCCTTTGCAGAGATTGCTCAATAACTGTAAAGCATCAAGACTGCATTTTTGCAAAGATTGTTCAGTAACTTCAAAGAACAAAGATTGCACTTCTGCAAAGATTGTTCGTTTGATAATTGAGAAGCATCATGGAATGCATATTTTGCAAAGATTGTTCCGATAGTTGCAAACTATAAAGATTTTGCAGAATTGGCGTTGGCTTTTACATTGTTATTTCACCAAAAAGAAATGTTTTTCTTATGGTGTTGTATAAAAACGTTTTAGAGTGTTCTTGGGGTTTAAATGCTTTTCATGAGAGAAGATATCTCTACTGAAAATGAGAGGACAGACACTGCACGTTAAGTGGCTAACAATAGCTTCCTAATTACCCCGGACAGCTCTGCAGCCGTGTCAAATAATTGCGTCCCCAAAATAAACATTTTCACGGAGAATCAAGATGGAGACGCCATCATTAACACACTCCTTTTTGCATCGACAACGAATTCTTTTTCAGTCATCATTTACCCTCGATCGAGACAATTAACAAAACCTCGAACAGAATAATCCAGGCTCCTAATTTTCCTTTTTCAAATTTGGAAATGATTCTTTCGATAGATGTTCAGTGATAATGGACCAAACTTTTGGAAAGAAAGTTCAGAAAATTCAGAGACAAAAACCTCAGAACCTCAGAACAGATCTTTCATGGACACGAAAAGAAAATGTAAATTCCAAGAACTGAACAGATGAACATCACTAGCAAGAACACACAAGAACTAAGATGCAGGATACTCAACTGGAGACTCCAAGATCGTAGCCGAAGAGTGACCCGCCGAAGGAGCCGACGATGCAGGCGAGGATGAAGTATCCGGTGATCTTCCCCTCGTACTGCTCCGCCCTCCCGGCGATCGCCTCGCCGCCGCCGCCGCCGAACCCTCCTGCCATCTTCTCTCTCTCTCTCTCTCTCTCTCTCTCTCTCTCTCTCTCTCTCTCTCTCCCTCTCTGAGTTTCAGAGACAGAGATTCAGAGTCACACTCTTCCTCCTCTCCTCCCCAAGAAATTTCGCAACAACTCCAAATCTGTTTATACACACACGACAACTCTGAATCTCTGAAAAAAGAGAGAAAGAAAGCAACAGCTATAAGAAGAGTACAGAGAGAGAGAGAGTGCAGTGCGAGTCAACAGAACCAATTGTTCAAGAAAGATACCTCTCGTCTTGGACTCTTTAGCCCTAAAAAAATCACAGCAGCAGCAGCAGCATCAATCAGCAGTGATTAAACAAATTAACAGTGAGTTTGATCACTTGTTTAATCGGGCCTCTGTCACTAATCTAATCCCTGATCATCCCTAATCTAGGCTGGGCGACGAACAGCAGAGCAGAACAGAGGAGAGAGTAATCAGGGGATCGAGGTCGTTGGATGCGTGGAGTTTTATATGGTTGAGGAGCTACACGCACCCCCGGGTCTTGTGCGTGCGGTTTTTGGGGTTTTTGTTGCACTGGATTTGTGGATAATGTGTGGATAATTAGCCAATTTTAGCCATGGGATTAGCACAGAAAAAAGTTTTTAACCGTGGGATGGATATATTGTTGAGCTGGTTGGGATAAAAAATTAAGTGTCGGGTGGGTAGTGACGTGGCAGTGTAAAAAATGATGTTATCCTGTTGAGATGAGAAGATTGAGGCAATCGTACTTTGTAGCATATTGCCCTACATGTCATTCCCTTAGAGCATCTTTAATAGTCTCTCTAAATTGTACTCTCTAAATATCCATATAGCTAACTCTTTATCTGATTTGCCTAGCCAAACGAGATACTCACTCCAACAAACTCTCTATTAATCCTCTCCAAAATAACAACAGACCAACATGTCAGCCTCTCCTCTCCTCTTCTTCCTCTCTTTCCCCCTCTTCCTTCTCTTTCCTTCTTCCCCTTTCCTTCCTTCCCGTCGACATTGGGCGCAGGCGGGTGCGGGGAGGCAGGAAGGCGACGCAATGGAGTCCGTAATCAGCGGAGGCAGCGCAGGAAGGCAGAAGGCGTCAACGGCTTGGGGGGGGGGACAGCGGCGGAGCTCGGGGCCATCACTGCCGCCACCATCCCGCCAGACGACGACGGGCAATGACAGGATCTACTCCTCGCCGGCCTTCCTCTCTCCTCCCTCGCCGTCACGCCCTCATCGTAGATCCACCTCACCGTCAAGCCGTCGCGCCCTCACCGTGAGCCTTCGCGTCCTCGCCATCGAGCCGCCTCGCTCCTCTCCGGCCTTTTTCGCCCCTCCCTCGCCGTCGCCGCGATCCATCTCCCCTCGCAGTGCGTGTTTTCGTGGGGCCCACCATTAGCCAGTGACTTTGGCTGGCCAAATTTTGCTAGGGGAGGGAGTATTTTGGCCGGCCAGATGGCTTGGCCATCCAGTTGGAGAGGCTGTTGGAGTTTTTTTTACTAGAGTGGCTAAAATTTAGCTTAGAGAGGCGTTTGGAGAAGCTGTTGGAGATGCTACTATATATTTAGCCAAAGTATTTCACTTGTGACTAACAATTCTTTATTTTATATGGCATATCACACATTGGTATTTTGAGTTGTGGTAAAGTTAATCGTCAAGTAAATAGCTTGATTAAGATCGAGTCTATAAGTTAAAAACTAATAAGCACTAGATAGATGGCAGCCACATGATTATGTACTTCGCTCTCTATATATGGGTTTAAATTCTAAACTTAGTATTTGTTCACCAATTTTTAGCTAACTTATATACATATAAATGAGATAATACCGACATGCTAATTATAGAATGTTTGTGATGTTGTCAAACTTTTCTTTGTTTTTTTTTTAAGTTGTCACGCCACAAACCCATTATGAGGCATAGAAACCAAGTTTGTCGGCCTTGGTACAAATTTGGGACACGTTGCATATTTTCTATTTTATTCAGCTTAAGCTGGCTTCGGTCAAAGCAAAATTCAACGAGGTAGCGTGTACTTTGCCAGTTTGATGTAGACGCACTTTTTTTATTCAAACCCAAACAAGTTGGATAAAACAAGCAGGAAATAGGCGGCTAGAACAAGCAGGAAGTATAGGTGGCAGATGAGTTCCGCTGTTTGTTTGTTCACACAATTTGGGCGTCTTGTGAGCTGTGAACGCGCATGTCCTACAGCATACGCAGATAATACAATCTCTCGGTTTTCGTTTAATGAGCGGATTATTGTTAAAATAAATACTCCCTCCTTCCGTCCCAAAAATATAAAAATTTAGGACTGGATCATACATTTTCTAGTATAATGTATCTTGACATACTATGAAACGTCACATCCAGTACTATATATTTATATTTTTGGATGGAGGGGGTACATTTTTAGGCTCAAAATTCTGTCCCAGAATAAGTACAATCTTACACTACTATATTTGCTTTATATTATAAGTTGTTTTTTTTTCTAGTTGAATTTTTTTAAGTTTGATCAAATTTATAGAAAAATAGATTAGTATTTTTAACCCCGAAACAAATATATTCTTAAAATATATTCAATGTTAGATTTAACAAAACTAATTTGATATTTTAGATGTTGCTAATTTTTTATTTAATCTTAGTAAAAATTCAAATGACTTATAATATGAAATCGAGAAAGTACTATTTATCTCATCAATCACATCTACCTTAAATTTCTCTTCATTCTACCCGTAACTACCTACTCACTTCCTATCATCTTTTATTTATTAGGGGACACCTAGGTAATTTTTCCTCGCTCTTAATTTCTCCTCTTACCCCTAAAACTAAGCTTATATTGGAACGAAGCAGGTCCAAAAAAAAAAGGCAATCAAGTACTACGATATAACATATTCTAGTATAATGAATCTAGACATAGAGTATGTCTTTTGTTGCAGCCTAGCACTCAATTGGTTTTTTTACGAAGGGAATACATATTATCCAATCTGAGTCAGACTAAATATTTTGGATATGTGTAAGGGTGTCTTTGGCACCTAATGTTCCTAACCCCTCTCATTCGTTTTCCGCGCGCACGCTTTTCAAACTGCTAAACGATGTGTTTTTTTTCAAAAAATTTCTATACGAAAGTTGCTTTAAAAAATCAAATTAATCTATTTTTTAAAAAAAATCTAATACTTAATTAATCATGTGCTAATAGATTGTTCCGTTTTCGTACTGATGTTTGGGTGGGGTGCCGAACTGAGCCTAAGTGTCGTTGGCAGTGTGAGTTCTGTACTTCTGTGTCGTGGATATTATTATCCAAATAAAATTGCCTACTATGATTATTTTTCAAAGATGACATGTCACTGCTTTTATATTTAACTGAAGTAGTGACACGATCCAAGCGAAAAATAAAACATAACACAGTGCCTTTTATTTTGCGTTATTTTATTTCATTGAACATTTGAACCGTAGCGACTAGCGAATTCACTCGATCGAATGATCTGCTGGATCCTATATTCCTATAGAGTGAGAGCTACTGCTGCTTAAAGCTTTGCATCGCTTTAACTAGGCAAACCTTTAACTATGACTAGAGACTAGGGACTATTACTAATTACTTCCTCCGTTTCACAATTTAAGTCATTCTAGTATTTTCCACATTCATATTTCTAGATTTATTAACATCAATATGAATATGGAAAATGCTAAAATGACTTATATTGAGAAACTTAGGGAGTATTATTAAGATCATAAAAAGAGACTCGTCGTGCTGTTCTGGCAGCAGTTTTGCTTTTGCTTCTCTTCATGTTCTTTTGGCGTTTCTCCCAGCTCTGCGGCGAGATCTCAGTCAGTTTCACGATTTGGCAGTTTGATTCTGTGCATTGGATTAATTGCTATGTGCACAACGTTGTGGTACAAAGAGATCCAACGATTAGAGACCCATATCTCTCTCTATGATTTTTTTTTATCTTATTCCTTTTCTTTTCTCTTTAATTTTGGCATGTTGGACACTGCTTAAAAAGATTTATATTTTTCAAAAAAAATTGGTTTTGAATGTTGACTTAATTGGAAATGTATATATGATTTACTGGCAAATGTAGCTTGGGGGTTCGAGACTTCGAGTGGACTAATTGCCTTTCTTTTTTCTTTTCTTTTTTTACGAAAGGCACAAAGGTTTTGCTTTTAGTAGAAAGCATAGAAAGTTTTGCCGGATGACGGCATACAGTGTTCAATGCAAATTGTAGCACACAGGCCGACCATTTCACACATTGGGCCAAAACTGATTATTGTGTTTATTTGTGTCTGATGTTGGGCAACTGGACCTAGCTGTGCAAATTAGGAAACTGATCTAGAGAAGAGTCGGACGACATAATACACGTGCATACGACAGATGAAAAGAAAAACACAATCCTTACTTATTTTTACACGCACGTAGGACATGGAAAACTAAACAACGTACGAAAAAACCCGGAAACCTTACTTATCTTTTAATTATTAGGCATAGATATAGATTTTTCCTTTTCTCTTTAATTTTGGCATCTAGTATCCTGCTAAAATATATATTTTAAAAGAAGGTTTGGAATGTCAGGTTAATTGGAAATGCATTTACGATTTTCACTGAGGGATGAAGCTTGAGGTAGGAGGGGACTCATTGCCTTCTTCCTCTAGCTGTCCTTCCCTGTTCTCATTGGAGATCCACTGGGTGGTTTCCTTTTCCCCAGCCTCCATACTGAATCCGCCATTGCTTTCGGTTGTCTTTTAAGTTAATTATGTATGCATTTGTACCCATTAATCTCATCATATATGGAAATGGTTGGGACAATTTTAAAATCAATAGTCTTTCCATGTTCTCAGAAGATGTTGGGAGCTGTTGACCCATTTATTAGTGTTAGTGAAAAACTATTTCTGAAAAGATAGTAACCTTATCTTGCTGTGGACCTTCAATGGCGGCAAATGGCATTGCCGCCATGTGCAATCTACTAACCATGTAGCACAATGCCATGTTCTAGGAAGGAAGATAATGACAATAATGCAGGTCTCTGGTTGTTCTCAAAAGAGAACCTTGGTTGGCAATTTGGTATAATTGGTTTTCATAATACATTAGTACTAACTATGCTAGAGAAGATACTCGGTCTATCTGGGATACTTCCATCCTTAGTTGTTTCAACTTTTTTAAAAGTAAGATCATTATATTGCATAATGACCTAGCTTTTGGAAGAAAGCCAAACAAAAAGAGTACCCACATTCATATACCACACCGATCCGCTAGGATTTCCATCTTACAAAAACACGATTTTTGCAACATAAAAAGGCCTACTTTTATATTTAGGCATTAACATAGAAGAAAAAAACCAACCTTTTCCTACTAAAGAGCCATAAACCCTTGGAAAACTAGGAGCAGACTAAATACACAAGCATATAGAAAAAAGATCATCAGGTGGTCTGTCCACCGGTTTCCGTTCTCTCACCTTAATTAGCATCCTATCACATTAGCTTTGCAACATGTTGTTTACCTCCTCTCTTTGCAAGCTCTTCTTTTTCGAAACAAACGGTATCGGACAGTGTGATACTCCTATCTCATATTAATATAGTAGAAAAAAAATATAAGCCTATAATACTGTGAATCTGTAATTAGGAATGAAAAGAAAAACAAACACACCACCACATGCTGACAACACCACTGTGCGTGTGACCAGACACCGCTAGACCTACAAAGTAGCTGCCCAGCAAACTGTCCAAACAACTAAGAAACACGGTGGCCTCTCAGGCACCATCAGCGAGAAGGGTTGTAGAGGAGAGTGTGAGAGAGAAAAAGATACATTCATCCTCAACGGACCTGAGAAACGTTAACCCATCTCAACTGCTTTGCAAGCTTTCCACTTCTGCTTCTCCATGAACATCATCTAGTTGTTTCAACTAGCAGTACTAATCTACAAAGTTTAACAAGATACTCTACAAGCATGTTTGCTTACTTAATTTTGTTAAGCAGCAGGATTGTCATTCAGTTGTCACCCTTTTTTGACAAGTCAGCATATGAACAGATGAACTTAACCAAGAGCTGTCTAGTTCACATGGAATTATTAGAAAAATTGGAATCTTCTGGTAACTACTTCGTTCTTCATGTGAATGACATATGATTGAGAAAAATAATTTGCATGGGATTTTATTTTGCAAATGTCTTCGGCATAAAGGGACAATAGATAAACAATAGCGTCTCCTGCTATTCTGGAATCAGTTTCATCATTTTACTGTCATGCTCTGTTCTTTGGGCTGAACTTATCTTCAGAGTACCGCAACTAGCTCCTTTTCTGTTCAGAATGAATTATTTTCAGTGTCCTATGAAAAATAAAAAAATGACATACGGTAAATTTAATTTTAATTGGAGAGGCCTCTCCAATTAGTCTTAACCGGAGACACCCACGTGCTAGTACTTTAGGAGTTTTGGTTGCTATTAATCCATTGAGCATGTAGGGGAAATATTCCTATCATCTATACTTTAAATAAAATTTTCTCTTAAATTACTCATCCGATTTACAATCCGATTACACCATTGTGTTCGTAATAATTAAATCTTTACAACAAGATATCACATTATTATATTTTGATGAAAAATCAAAAATTACTTTTATGATATGTCTAAATTACTTTTAGATTTCACTAAGTTACTTCTTACACATATAAAAGTAAATTCAGTAAAGCCTAAAAGTAATTTACATATATTATTATAACAAAAAGAAAGTAACTTTAATTAATGCCTTTTTTCATTGAACAAATTATCATATATATATATATGTATGTACATATACATATATATATAGGAAGCCTATATACTACTCCCAGGAGTAGCTACTCCTATTGTAACCACCGGACACCTGTCCATCTCACATCAAGGTTTCGGGGTTCAACTCACTAACGGATGGTGAGAAAAGATCCACTAATCCACCGCTGCAGAAACTTGATTATTCTTCATTTTTTTGAAAATTCGGATTACTGCGCTGCGTGTTCTGCTTGGTGAGGCATTTGAATTTTCTCCATGCATGGCTTGTTGATCCGCATGCATGCAAGGCCGTGCGACCAGGAGAGTAGTTAGTGTGGAGGTTGCTACAGAGACTCTATTTAAGTAGACGGTGATGTAGGACACAAAAGGAGTGAGCAGAAGTTTCTTTTGGATTTGTGAGCAAGAAGATTTAGTTCTGCAGTTTTTTGATGGAGCAGAAACCCTCCGGTGGAAAGGGCAGAATGTCGTCGGCGAGTTAAAAGTTACTTTTAGATTTGATTAAAATACTTCCTATACATTCATAATGCTCTGGGGTGATTACTTTTATTATTATTTTAGTTAATTCCATAATTTGTGCTGGTTAATTTAATTTCTAGATAGAGTCATATTTTTATCTCTACTACGGATTTACTTCAAATGACATGCTAAAGTTACCTTTTTGTTCTAAGTTACTTCTATAATATATGTAAATTACTTTTAGGTTTTACTGAATTTACTTTTATATATCTAAGAAGTAACTAAGTAAAATCTAAAAGTAATTTAGACATATTATAAAAGTATTTTGTGATTTTTCATCAAAATATAATCATGTGAGATCTTGTTGTAAAGATTTAATTGTTACGAACACAACGGTGTAATCGGATCATAGATCGGATGAGTAGTTTAAGAAAAAAATGTATTTGAAGTATAGGTGGATGGTGCCTCTTATAGATGGAGTGGTAGCACTAGCTGTGTAGTTATGTCCAATTAAAATTTATGTACAAATATTTTTCTATGTATAAATAGTGGTGGGTCTAATGCACATGTATGTCGAGAACCCAATTGTTCGGTTTCAAATATTGAAATTGTTGTGCTACTATCACCACCCATTTTAAAATCATAGCTTTTCATTGTTTAACCTTTCTAATAGCTGAACCGGAATTTGATTGCCACCACAATCAAGTATATATTTTAAACAATTAGATTAGTGCAGAAATTTATGAATCATTATTTTGATCGATCTGATGTACTCATGTTGTGTGTTCTGCTAATTCATCCCTGACATCCATTGGCTAAGAAGGCACACAAGAGTATACTCTACACGATTAGATTAGTCCAGAATTTGCACAAGAGATACATCCGATTCCCGAATGATTCATCTCCTACCAATATTCGTGCACCTAGAAGATAACAACAAATTTAACATGCCAACTCAACCGTACGTTCATAAAACATCCTACTACCTCCGTCTCAGAATCAAGAATGTAGCTATTTCTAGGTTGTTTGGATGGATTAAGGTTTTGGGTGTTATGACCATAGTGCCCTTCTTTGACGGAATCATGAATATGCTGGCACAAGGACACGCAGCATTCCTTCCACAGCTCCTATTCCCCTAACACCTGCATATCCAGAATAAAAAATGGGACTAACTTTTAAAATTCAAACCAAAGAAGTCTGGTGCCTATCTCCTCGTCTCCTCCATAGACTGGGGATATGTGGTGTGTCAGTGCTGTGGGGTGCAGGGGTAAAACAGGTATAACAGCCTCTCATCTACCTAGAAATAGCTTCTTTTGGGACAAGTTTGAATCCTAAAAATAGCTACATTCTAGGACGGAGAGAGTAGATAGAATGCACAGCTGCAGTCAGAACATATGTGTAGTGAAGTGATATGATGGACTAATTAAGGGCAAAACGTGTAAGACTGGAGAGTGATGCGTTCCAAGAATTGACAAAGGTTACTGCTTGCAGCAGAACATACCATGTTGAATCTCGTCGCCTACCAAGCCTAGCTTCTCTGTCAGTAGATACTCCCTCAATCAAAAAAAAAGACAAACAGTGGGTTTTCGTGACAACATTTGACTGTCCGTCTTATATGAAAATTTTTTATAATTAGTATTTTCATTGTTGTTAGATGATAAAACATGATTAATGCTTTATGCGTGACTTATTTTTTTAATTTTTTTCATAATTTTTTTCAAATAAGACGGACGGTCAAACGTTGGACACGGAAACCAGGGTTTGTCTTTTTTTTGGGACGGAGGGAGTACATCTTTTCAGCACTCAAATCTGGGAAATTTTGGGTTTAGGCTGTGTTTAGATCCAAAGTTTGGATCCAAACTTCAGTCATTTTCCATCACATCAACCTGTCATACATACACAACTTTTCAGTCACATCATCTCCAATTTCAACCAAAATCCAAACTTTGCGCTGAACTAAACACAACCTTAGTTAACATGGGATATACGGACACATATTTAAAGTATTAAACGTAGTTTAATAACAAAATAAATAAATTATAGATTCTGCCAGGAAATTGCGAGACGAATTTATTAAGTCTAATTAATCCATCATTAGTAAATGTTTAATGTAGCACCACATTGTCAGATCATAGCGTAATTAGTCTTAAAAGATTCGTTTAGTGTTTGTTAGCTTTTTGTTATGGAAACTAAACCAGGCCTTAGTGTTAGTTTCGTACTAAGTTGTGGTCTCCTGTTTAAGGTGTGCTGGAAACCCCTGCGCTCTAGTGGCCTATTTTCCTTTTTTAAGAAAAATCTCAGTACATATCATATACACGGCTAAATGTGCTTGTTAAGTTGCTAATCTGATTTCATATGGACATATCGCTCGAATAGTCATATGATAATTACTTGCGTGATAGTATATCACACTAATAAGTATTCGTGATCAGTGATGTTCTCTATTTTTTTTGCCGGGAGACCAGGGCAATTCCCTTTTAGCTTGACATATATTTCCTCCATATATGAATTCATATTCCCTCACTATTTATGTTCATACTCAAATCCAGTACTATCCTCTGTTTTCCAGAAAAAAAAAAAAAGAGACAGGATAAGGGACGAACTATCCATCCATGGTTCCATGCCATGTGATCCACCTTCCGCAACGCCTGGTGTCCATCATCACAAATTCGCTGAAGCAAATCAAACACCCGAACTTGTTTGGCAAAAATCAAATATCAAGCAAACATTTGCACTTGCTAGTTGGATAATCCGAGCCACCGTTGATGCTTCAGATTGTATGCATATGGAGCCATGGAGGTTAAGGTTTTCAAGAATCTGAACCAATGCTCGACAAATGTGATTACAAACAGTGATCACTGGAGGAGATGAAAGCACTTGACAGAGTAAAGTCTTGAATTTAAAATCCTCATAATCAGTCTGAACTGAAGGCAGCACTACGAGCAATCACCTCTCCTCAAGCTTTGCAGCAGCTTTAGGTAGCCATGGTAATCTGGGTTTATATACCTAAAAGGGAGATTATCAAGACAGCATGTGAGAAACTTTTGTTAATGAAAGCAAACTACTCATAGAACAAGGAATTTCATTTTTTGGTTGCGATGAACAAAAGAAGAATATAATATGCACGTGATACCCATGACGGAAGAGGAAGTCAATAATCACAAGGTTGCAATTTGGCTTGAAAAAATGTGTCCTCCGGATAATATTTGCAGCATGTGGTACAGGGATTAATCTGAAGCTACCAACCTCTCCATCTGCAAGAGTTGGTAGAAGATTCATTAAATATTTTCATGCTAGAGTACCATTTATAGAGAACAGAGAAGTATAGCATGGTTGGGGTCAAGTTTTTGTTCTGCCAAATGGGAATGTTTACCTTCATTATTAGGAACAAAATCTGGAGGAAGTTTAAGGTCATAACAGAAGAGAACATCCCTTTTGTATCTAAACCCTTCAATATCCATGTAAGAGATCGCTCCAACAGAGGTAGCACTAGCAAACATGGTAATTATGAGTTAGACTATGGGTACTTGCACGGCAAACACGATGAAGATCACAGAGAAATTTATAATTTTTCAGGCAACAGCGGTCATATTACTTGCTTGAAATGGATCTTGGGATTCCTGCTTCCTCTTCACATTCCTTGATAACATTCTCTTCACAGGAGATTCCATATGGCTAAAAGTTTTCAAGGGGAATCAGTGTACCAATCAATGTAAGTTAATAGCTAGCTATTCACTTTCACAACAGAAAAAAAAAAAAAACAGGTCAGAGAGAAGAACTGAGCCACACATTTGAGACTAAAGCATCCCTACCTGTTTGATTGAATTGACTTTTTGACATACAAGACAGATTAAAACCCTTTAGAGAAATTTTATATGAACCCTAAAGTGGCCACCTGTTCATGCAGCCTACATCAGTATAAATAAGAAGTATGATATTACAATTTATTGTCCCCATAAACCAGCTGAAATTTCTCATCTAAGCTTTACCAAGAACATCAGATTACCAGGTATATAATTGTCGGGATGCCCCAAAACATTAGGAGCAAAAGAATCATATGGCCAAGAGTTTAAGGCCATTTGAGGCACATCATTTGCACGTAAAACAAAATCCAGCAAGAACATGGATGTTTATGTTGCCCAAAGTATGCTGAGACTTTCTGTTCCTGATATCTGATGTAGCTGGTTATGACCACAACGTTCAGAAGAGAATGAAATGTTATCATAGATTAAATTTTTTGGAGATTATATGCATTATAAATATTATAGTGGAAAATGAAGTTTGGTCGCTGACCAAGTGGAACAACTGGTTACCCAGTGACCACTAACCAGACACTTCAGCCAAGTCAATCCTAGGCTGAATCTGACAATAATCAACTAGAAGCTTAAAATGTTACGGTCTGATATGTGCACAGTTCCCCTTTAATTTTTTACGAAGGAATGAAGGCATCAAAAGGCCCTATGCAATTGTTTTAAAGTTTCATAATTTACTACAACAAGATGATAACTGAAAAATAATTACTGCTAATAAGATGGACCAAAAAAAGAGAGTGATGGAAATGCACACCAGGCCACCTGCAACAAGATGATCAAGCATTCCTGGAAAGGTCTGCTTCGTATCACTTCTCTTAGCAATCCAAAGAAATTTCTGGCCCTCCTTCTCAACATACCCATTCATATGAACTCCATAAGCCTGACAATATACATAACATCTCATCGATAAGGATTGAACACTTGGACCATATCAATTACCAAAAAAAGAAAGCCAGTAAATAGCCACATGGCAGATATGATTAGCAGTAAGCAGCTATTTTGGATGTAGAACACTTCCCTATAATTCACTAACATATGTATATAGGTGACACTATTGGCATAGAATATACTACCTCCGTTTTTTAATAGATGACGCCGTTGACTTTTTCTCACATGTTTGACCATTCGTCTTATTCAAAAATTTTATGCAAATGTATAAGATATAAACCACACTTAAAGTACTATGAGTGATAAAACAACCCATAACAAAATAAATTATAATTACGTAAATTTTTTGAATAAGACGAATGGTCAAACATATGAGAAAAAGTCAACGGCGTCATCTATTAAAAAACGGAGGGAGTATTTCCTTTTAAAAATAAGGAAGCATGACAGAGAACCTTTATACCAAAGTAGGGGGCAGCAGCACGTTCCAGAGAGAAGTACACAGGCATGCCATAAGATGATGTTATTGGATAGAGCTGTTAGATTGAGCATATTATTAGAACGAGATTATAGAGAGAAAATGTGAAATCTCCAATAAGGCCTAATAAAACAAGAAGAATATTTAAAAAAACTACTGTGGCAATTCTACTGAAAAATGTAGGATCCAACATTCAGCAAATCAATAAATGCATCAGAATTTAAAATCAAGCTTGTTCATTAAAGAATCAATGACTTGGATACTGAATTGTGGTGAGTACCTCATTTCGAATACCTGGAATCAGATCTCCTAGACTTCTTATGACACTTCCAACAGCATTTGTTCGTTCATCTGGAGTCCTTAGAGATGAATGGAGAGTCACATGTTCAACATTATTGCTTCCATTGCTGCCCGAGGCAATGGTAAAAACATCACGGAAGTCTCTTAGATGTTCAACAAAACTGAAATTGGAATGAATGAGATAAGCACCTTGTAAAACCAATCTCACCCTAAAATATACACTGAATCATGAATATTGTAATTGCAATAAGTAGTAAAATATCCTCATAGTCCACACTGCCAATGCAGACACTGAATCCCAAATAATAAAACTTTGTGCTCGTCATGTTATGAGCTTACCTCATACAGACAAGAATCTCGAAATTTCAATACAAAACATACATTTACACTTACTATGTGGACAAAAATAACTAGACGCAGAGAGATGCGAAATTTGTACAAGTATGCAACTTAAATCTTGAAAAAAGATGCAGCCAGTTCAAATAAACGAGCCATAATCAGATAGTGTGACTGACCGCATTATTTAAACAATAATGCAGATCAACCATAATATTTTAGGCTGCAATGAGACTAGTTACGATTACGCATGTTCCACCGCATCTGTCATATTTATACCCTCGTTTTCAGAGAGATTTATATCCTGTTTGGCTGGGTTGGTCATAGGCTGAAAAGCAGAGTTCTACCCGATCAAGGATTATACTGACACCGGGACATGCAGTTGACTGAATGGCTGTTCCTCACGATTCGCAAAATTTGGAGGACAGAATTCGAATTATGAACAAATTAGCCCCAAATTGGAACATAATAACTGCACTCACCCTTGGTGGATATACCCCACAACCTGATCCTCCACCATGAACGCCACGAACTCCCCCTTCTTGTCCTGCGAAACCCCAACGAAATTCACACCCGAGGCGTTCAAGCGCGCGCGGTTGACACGGTAGGGGCAAGAAACTCACCATTCCTCGGTTGCAGGTGTCGACCTTCCGGGAGTACCCGGAGAGGTCGGACTCGTCGCCCCGCCGGTCGTCGGCGGCGACCCGGAGGGCGTCCTCCCAGCCGAAGCTCGCCGCGGCAGCCGGTGGCGCAGCGGCGGAGAAGGAGGCGGTGGACGAGAACGGGAGGCGGCGGCGGCGTGCTAGGAGTCGGAGGCGGGAGGGGAAGCTCCGGCGAGCGGCGGCGGCGGCGGCGGACAGGGAGGAGGCGGCCGTAGCGGCCATATCGCCGGCAGTTGGGGAAAAAAATGTCAATATTTTTTTTTGAACGGGAAAAAAATGTCAATAACAAAAGAGAGAGAGAGAGGGATACTCCCTCCAAATACTTGAATAACTGCCACTGTTTTGCAGAAATGTTTCAAAAATGAAATTTGAAGTTTGAATTGTGTTTATAAGCCAACTCTTTTTTATTGTTTGGTTGAATATTAATATATAGAATAATTAAGATCTACTTCATCCGTTTCATATTATAAGTCACTTTAATAGTTAAACTTTTCGGAAGTTTGATCAAGTTTGTTTATAATAAAATTAGTTTTATTTAATCTAACATTAAATATATTTTGATATTTTCTTTGTTTTATGTTTAAAATATTGTTATGTTTCCCTATGAACATTGTCAAAGCTAAACAAATTTGATTTATAATATGAAACAGTGGTAGTAAATATCAATGAGTTTGAAAGAAAATTCTAAATATCAATTATATTATCAATTGCTATCAATTTTTTTTGTATGGAGAGATATATAATGTCTATTTCTACCATTTTATGTCTACCATTTTATGTTGGGTTTAAACTTGGTAATAGAAAAACATAGAAACAATTGAAGGATTGAATCTTAGGGCATGTTTGATACAGCTCCAACTCCTAAATTTAACTCCAGGAGTTGGGTCTGGAGTGGAGTTGTGGAGCTGCCTAAACCCAGCTCCACAACTCTAGTTCATTTTGTGAGAGAGCTCCACCCAGCTCCACTCCCAGTTTTGGTGGAGCTGAAACTATTTGGCTGAGCTCCAGCTCCAGGAGGGGTGGAGCTGGAGCTGAAGCTGTGCCAAACATGCCCTTAATGAAACAATTCCTAGGAAAGCCTTTAAAACAAAGGACAAATCCTATATCTTTTTCTAAAATTCCTATGGAATTGACGGTCCTAGAGACTTTAGGGAAAAGTTAGCATGAGCATAAATCTCTTAAAATAAAAATCTTATTTGATTCCTATGTTTTATTATAGTTTGCTAAAATGACCATTCCTATAATTTTTTTTTGTGTTTTGCAATTTTATGTTTTGCACTTATTTTCCTATTGAAATCATAGTTTTTTATTTTCTGTTTCTCCCTCCCTCTCTCTCTCTTGCAATCCTGTGTTTCAAAGGAGCTTGAAAATCATAGACTCATGATTACAGACAATTAACTCAAATTTTTGAATGTTTCTTTGATTCACTATTGGAATATATCCCGCGTCCGTAATTCGGTATAGTGAAACCCGATACTATCTTCCAAGATTGGGGAAGGCATACAAAGTAATTACAAATCTACCCTATAATTCACCAACCCACTCTTACACCTACATTACTCGTTCATCAAATCCAACGGTCCAGAATCATCCAATCCAACGGATCACATTATACCACGCACCCCCTCAACCTCCGTATGGACCCCATCCCCCACTTCTCTGTCAATCACGCCGCCCCCTCGCCCTCAAGGATTCTCTGCGCACCGCGCCTCCATCTGCGGATCTGCCTCTGCGCACCCATCCGCCCCTGACCGCGCATCGGCCCCGCGCCCCGGCGCCCCCTCCACTGCTCCGCCGACCACCGTCAGGTCGCGACGCCGCCGATGACTCTCTCGTGCCGCCAAGGATCACGCCGCCACCGTGACTCCTCGCCATCGATGCGCGACGTGACGCGTTTCCATCTCTTCGTTCGTCGTCGACGTCTTCGCCGGCCTCCTCAAGAATCCCGCACCGCCGCTGTCGACCGAGATGAGGAAAGCCAAGCCATTATCGAAATAGTTGCGCGCGTAGGCACACCAGCAGAAAAAGGCACCGGCCACTCCAAGCTCGTCCGGCACTACGACTCGGAGGCCTCCTGGAACAATGTATCACTATTCACTAGCACCCCTCCTTCCTCACTGCTTTGCTGTTCTTGTTGCTATTTGCTAATGGTCTGCCTCTAGATTCCTGCCTGATGCTTGCTTGTTTGGGCTTTGCAAAGGATTAATGGCTGGACATCGTGCATTGGATCCGGCAGGGGTGCAATTACATCCCAAATAAGATGCTACTTGTTAGCACAATAATTAAATTCTTCATGATGTTACTTTAAGATCGATGTAGCCACCTGTAGCAAATGTTGAGTGCATGATCAAAAAATTGAAGTTTACTGTTGTTTACTTGTGAATTGGGATTTGCTTGCATCAGTCTACAAAATCTTCCCTATTGCTTAGTTCAAAACTAGGCGGTGTGGATTTTGGTTAATTTTGACATATGCAGGATCTTAGCTCGATGATACGTGCGCATCTGCTGTTTAAGATGCACTTGGCTCTGTTCAGGGATGATTAACTGTGCATTCTTTAGTTACTGATTAGTAAGCTTTACAGTATAATAACTTAGCGGCTGAAATCGTAAATGTTAGTACTGCATTTCCTTTACTTGGATGTAAGGATTCATGCAATCATGTGGTCTCACTTGTGTTGAGGTTTTAGCAAATATAATTCAGATTGGCCTGGTTGGCAGAGCTGAGCATATGCGTGAGTTTTGAATCTTTTAGTAGTTGAATACTGCTTTGATATGTCTGTAGCACCCCAAATATGTTATGCAGAATTATTGGTACTTATTTGTGTTTATTGCACCGTCATTCATTTCTGTAGCTATTGCCTCATGATGAAGCAATATTTGGATATGTCATCGAAGCCAGGGAGACCAAGAGCAGTAGTCATCTGCTCCACAAGGTAGCTGACTGATCAGGTCAGGTTATCCTTACTACCAAAAAAACATGAGTTTATGATCGGATTTTTTTAAATGATACTGCTGAATGTGATTTCGTGCAATGGGATGAGGCGTATATATGCCTGTCTAATTGTATTGCTTTGAATAGAATTGGTTTTTAGATAAACCTAATATGTTTATTTTTAGACAACAACATGGATTCATGCTGGATTTTAGTATGAAAACCTTTGGTCCATGCTGGAGTTTAGACTAAAAAACTCTCCTCTCTCAATATTCAAATAATGTGTTACAAAAGATCCCATGGTGGTGGTAGAGACTAACCACCACTTAATACTGTTTTTTATTTTTGTTTATTTAGATACAACATGGACAAAGTTCATAAAATTACATTAGTAATCATCATCAAATTCATGCTTTTCATTCAGGCTGAAGAGATGGGTAGGTTTTTCGGAAACACAATTATATCCAGGTATTATTCAGTTTCTTGTTGCTTCTTATATCATGTAAAGAGCTTATTTATCTACCTCGGATGTTCATTCCAAGAGACAGCATAAATTACTCCGGAGATCCCAAAACTTGAGCTGTGGTGTCTTAAGTTAGCAACTAACATATCTGTAATATTTATGTTTCTCAAAGATGTGCCCTTATCAGTAAATTGTGAAGGAGGGTTGGAGAGGCCTTCAAGTGAATTTTTTGTTGTTGTTTTCTTGACATAGAAATGCAATAAAGAAGATTGGATTATTTTAGGCAATGATTGGCAAGGATAAGTAATTTTACTGATATTAGATTTCAGCTGCAGAGTCCCTTCAATTTAGAATAAATTTGACATGTAATTAAGCCTTAGTCTTGGTTTTCTTGTTTAAATTTATTCCTGGTACTCAAGATTTTTTTTTCTTACTAATATCTTGTTCTAATTGTAGGTGAAGGAGCTGGTTTGCTTCACCTTCATAGCACCTATAGACAGGATTCTAATTGTAGGTGATAAATGGTGTTTATTGCCTTCTTGCATAGTTCAAAATGTGCTTGATCGTATTGTGTCCAGGATGGTTCAAAAGCATCATAGCTAGGCGCACTGAATTTGTGACTATGCCCAGACTACTGGGAATGTTCTTACCAACGGGGAAAATTGGTATATTCAAGCCTAGCATGCTCATTTTGGATGTGGTACTTTCATAGAAGTGCACTTAGTGCTGGAGACTTCGATAGAATGTCACACTTTCACCTCAGAAATACCGAAATTTTGTTGGTATTGTTTCATACTCCCTCCGTTTTTTAATAGGAGAAAGATAATTTAAACCATAGATTAATCATTTAAGCACTAACTAAGTGAGGATAAACTATATAAATATATAGGATATCATAAAACATAATAAAGATATACATTGAAACATTATGTGAATTATGTTGGATGATAATTTAACATGTTTGTATTTGAAAAGCTCTTAAATTATAAAAACTATAAAGATATAGCATGTTTGCATGATGTTTAAATGTGGTGATTGTTAGTGGATGATGATGTGGCATCTTTGCATGTTAAACTTAAGGAGTTAGTGGGGGATAACTTTATAGTAAGATAGGATATGAATGTGGGTAATGCTAGAAAGTCTTATAACCTGAAACGGAGGTAGTACTTGTGTGATTCTGATGAATATAGAGCAACACTGGCTTCGACCAATAGGAGTAGGGCTAGTACATGTCAAATAAGGGGCCCGACCCTGTATACAAATAAGGGGCTTTTACTTCAATATCGCATATACCCTGGTACCGACGATCTCCATACCATGTAAATACCGTAATCGTGACTTCAAACATCGAGAGTGGTAGCGACTAAACTAACCTCGGAGCAAAACAATCGTATCCTATAATCCTATAATACTATACAAGTGATCCCCACTAACTCAATTTCCTTATCTGTGGTTCATCCACATCATCCAAATCAACGACAGCCGTTGGATCAAAACCTAGTGGTCTGGATCATGGTCAGCCAAGTCTAAATCTCAATGGAGTGAACTGCAATACTCATATACGTGAGCCCAACAGGCAGCAGCCCAGCCATTCCCTAATAGAGGACCATCCATCGATCTCAATTTTCCTCCCACACCTAGCCTGTCGGTCTCCCACTCTTCCCCGCGGAACACGTACGCCGCCCGTCATCGCCTGCGCTCCTCTCGTGCAGCGTCACTGCCCGGCATGGCGCCTCAACTCCACCCTCTACCCCGTACCATTTCCAGCGGAAAATGACACTCCGCGTCCCGTCCCCGTCTCTCCCCCTCCCCCGAGCAAGGGAATCAACCAAGAGCACCGCCTCGGTCCATTTCATATCCTTGGTTGCCATGAAGACATTAACTTTATGTGCATGTAACATAAAGGCAAAATCATCGTAGTGCTTCACTACAATGGAATGTGAGTCGACAGTACACCTGTCAATAAAATCCTCTCATGCTTCTATTTGCTTTGTATCTTCCATAGCCACGCGCCGTGCATCATCGATCCCCTTTCGATTGACTTTGCAAGCTAACTAGGTGCTATTTTCTTCTTCACATCCTCTTAGCTTGACTTCACTAATCTTGGTTTTCTTCATAATGCAGTCCTATACTTGTGAAATTTTTGTTCCCTCCATCCTCCTTTTCTTATTTGTGTATCTCCTTCATCTCTCCTCCCTTTTAATTTAAATCATAATTGCTTCTTGCCTTTTTCTAATCTTGGTTTTCTTCGGATCGTAGGACTATACTTGTGAAATTTTGTTAGCATTCTCCCTCTATTTTCCGTGTACATTTTGATTTGGCTACCTGTGTGGGGGAGGTCAAGGTAAATTCTAATGGCTAATTTATTGCAAGTGTAAGAATCATCCCTATGAAAGGCTGTGCTATTCTAGAGCATTCGATAAAGCAATTCATTACTCTAGGGTGGTTTCATCCATATGTATTGATGAAATTGCAAAGCTGCCCATCATTATTTTACTACATATATTGAGATAGCTAGAGATTTTGTAAAATAATTCCTTATATGCCTTTGATACTTATATTTTCTGGATCGAACCTTTCATCGCCATGATCTATTTGGTACATGTTTTTTTTCCATAATAAAAGAGTAAACGTTTAATTGTTTCAGTAACTAGTAATGTGACCGTGGTAACGCTACGGTGATATTTAATAATAGCGATATATGTGTGTGCATGATAATCAAATTTTAGCAGATTGGCGTGGAAGGTTCGCCAACATCTGAAGCTGTTTTATTAGACGTCCATAAATGATAAAAATAGTATTAAATGTCCATATAAAAAGATATAATGACAACAGGGTTCCTTTTAATCAAGAATTTTTATGCTTAATAGACTTTTAATAATATCTGAAATGCTCACATTTGCTGAAAAGAGGAGATAACCAACGAAAAATGAATTAAAAATATATATGAAGAGTTTTAACAAAAACATGGCCAACGGATTGTAAATATGTTTTAACTAAAATATCTGCACAACGCAGATTAACTAAAATATCCATGCCAAGTATTTTAACTAAAATATGTTTTTTTTAGAAATGTACATGCATCTATACCTGCACAACGCAGATTAAAATCATATCCTCTTAAGATGGGTAGTGGCCTCAGTGGCAGAGTAAGATGCAGGGTAAGGTTATCCTTCAAAAGGACTCTATATAAAGAAGAATCGCAAATTTCATATATGTATATTCATATTGTCCGGTTAATTCTTAGCTTGCAACTGTGATTTTTCCATTACCATTGCATGGAGCAGAAAAGGTTAGCCAATGCCTAAAAGCTTGTTGTACTATTTCATTGTAATGTTGTTGCTGGTGACTAATAATTCAGAGAACCAGAGTTCACATCTTCTCCCATTCTTGTATTGGAGTATTGCATAATCTAATATAGACCATACTACCATAGTACAGATGCTCCCATCTTCTTCCATCCTTGTGCCAAACTCCTCAATTTTTAACACACGTCGACTTATCTCTAGAATTCTTTCCGAAGACCCATCATTTTTGTCATTGGGGACCCACAAGATCGTTGATCGGCATACCTTTCTGCTATCTCTCTACCTGCATATTTGCAACACCCAACTAATTAATTACCACTCATCAGACCAGCTGGTAATGAAAATATAGTGTTAGTTTTATTAACCAATTATTGTTCTGCAAATGAAAATGTTAGTTTATTAACTAATTATTGTTCTGCAAATGAAAGCAGATAACACACTGCTTAAAATGCTGAAAATTTGGCATATTGTATATAAGATTAATTAGAAGCAGATCAGATTTAATAGACGGTTTTGAAAGCTGTAGCAAAAAGGAATTAGTTTGACAAACCCTTCTCTTTTTAAATGACAATTCCTGCAATAAGAGTTCTCCAATCATAAATAGGCTGGAAGAGAAATAGACCAAAGTGAAGAAATAGAGTGCTCCTCAGACCCCAAAACTCCTCTAAACTCCCATATATACATTGACAACATTAAGCTTCCTTTCACATTTACTGAAAACAGTAGATCAATTTGGACAGAACCATTTTTTCCACTAATAAATCACACGATCGTTAGCGTCCTCGTAGAACCCCTGCAGCATGCATATGAGTTAGACGGACACTTACGGAAAATGCTGACCTCGTAGACCTTTCAATATGATATCATTTCTCTCAAAAAATGCTGAATTGCCAACATTGCTTACAGACATGAAGATGAACCAAGGTATAAACACATAAAAAGGACTAAATTTATACCACTATATGCTGACCTGGTGAATGAAGTTCAGTATAATGCGCACAATGTTTCTCCCAGAAAGCTCGCCTGTCAGTACATTTCCAGCGAGTCGGATGGTGTTTCTAAAGGGCTGAAAAATCTAGATATCAATGCCAATTTCAAGCCATGTGGGAGCAAGCACTAACCTATGCCACATTGTGCCAGCAGATCCAACTGCATTGCGCCAACCGCCCCCCCCCCCCCCCCCCCCCCAACAAGCATTCATCTCCTAGCAGTGGACTCCTTGCCGACGTTTTATCGAGCACCTTGGACGCATGCATCACACGCTAGTGGAAACAAAGAATACCAGAACGCAGAAACAAGTGGGAAGGTAAAAGTGGAGGAGCCTGGATCAGACCTGCAATGCAGAGGACGAGAAGAAGGTTACCGTCCATTCAGGTTCAGTCAACAATGAAGATGAGTGCGGAGGGGAAGCAAGAGGAGAACAGTAGCAACCTTGAGCAACGGTTGCGACTGTTGTGTCGTCAGTCATGCATGTCCGTCCTCGATGTATCCAGGGAGGAATGGACTTTGGTGCCGCGACGGACGATGCCCAAGGCCGAGACCTTTGCGCCAACGATGCCGACGAGGAGGAGTCGGTCTTCGTGGCAACACGCAACATGAATATTGGAGGGCTGCCAGCCATGTGGATGGCGGGCGGAGGGGTTGGTGTCCCAATCTGGCGATTTAGCCAACTACCTTATTTATTTTTTTTCAAAAAAAAATTATTTTTTTACTCTTCTAAATCTGTGTTTATCAATATTTTTTTTTTGATTGTTTTGGAAGTTTGTTTCGATCCCTGACGTATGGACGTGCGTTAAGAGGGGACATGTTTCTGGACATTTGTCTATATGCATATGTGACTATGGAGGTAAGTTGGACCGACGGGAACGCCGGATCCTTTGAGGGGGTGTCTTAGACATCCTAGTGCAATTAGGATGTGGTATATATTTTTTTTATTTAAAAGATTTGACATGTGTTTTTCCATAAGCATTGTGTGCACATGAGTAGTAGTACTATCTTACTATTTAAGCAAGAGCGTAGCCAACCTGTAATGTATTGTCCCTCCAACCATATTATTTTTGGGTTGACTATTTTATGCGAAGCGAGAATAAAAGTGTAAGTGAGGTGATATTTATAAGTAAGCGTACTAGTTAGATGGAGGCTGCGCTGCCTTGTTCTGAAGGACGGGTTGTTACAAATTGTAAACTAAAATTACTTGCATCATGTCGTCGTCTTAAATTTATGAGAAAAATATGTCGCAATAATGGAGCTTGTTCATATGAAAATATCATTTTAATACTACATGTTTTTATTTTTAAAAATATTTAGCATCTTAATTTAAACTTTAATTTTTTTTCTTGTATACTAAATATGTCTTTGTAGATTTTACGGTATATTAATATAAGAAATTTTCTATTAAAAATATGATAATATGTCATCTTTATCTAATTAAACAAATACTCATGTACTTTATTCTATTTACTTCTACTACCTCCATCCATAAATCAAAGGATTTAAATTTTATATCATAAAATATAAGGAATTATTAATACTACTCGTACCATCCAGCCATTCTTCATTTAATTTTTATCCAACATTACACTAACCATCTTCTAACTCTTTACATACTCCTTATTTAATGAGCCTTGGATGGGTATCTTAGTATTTTTTTCATTCCTCCTTAATTTCTACTCCCTCTGTCCTAGAATAAAAGAAGTTTTAGAGTTGGACACAGTTATTAAGAAAGTAGGTATAATTAAATAGGGAGATGTTATGTTGGGTTGAGAAGTGGAGGTAGGTGAGAAAAGTGAAAGGTGGATGATTGTGATTAGTTGGGAAGGGAATGTTGGTGGTAATATTGTTATATTGGGACAAATCGTAAGTGCTAAAAGTTGTTATATTTTAGGACGAAGGGGGTATAAAATTTTAGGATCCATTATAAGAGGGAGATATATAGTAATAAAAAGAGCCTCATTCATAGACAGATTTATTTGTACCTTTGTAGATTGATTTAGCTTTACATATTTGTATAGGTAAATAGACCTGGTATATAAGTTGAGAAATATAATTAAGTTGGTAGAAAGTCGTTAGATGTCTAATGGTATGAAGTAATTAGTCTACCAGTTTTATTAAAAAATAAGGTGGATATTTTTTCGGGGTAATTTTTAGGATCTTCTTTTATTCAGTGGTTAACTTAATTGTTGTAAGGAAAACAAAGAGGCGAGAGCCAGTGGGTTCATTTCGTCCGTGAGGAGGGAACTGGATACATGTGTTGTACATACGCACTCTGATGGCCTGATCGATCGGTAGGTTTTTTTAATATATAGATCTAACATTTTAAAATAAGTTAGATCAGTTTGGGTAAGACAACTTCAGCTCAATAATGCATACTTTTGCCATAGTTACTACAATGTAGCCAGTTGAGATCCATGCTTGGCACCCTTTAGGGTATGAGTGAGAGAAAATGGAGGTGATGAAAATAGTTTTTATATGTCTTGAGTTGATTTATATATAGAGTATACATAATTTGTTTATGGTGTTAATCGATACTACTAAATTTTAGTGGTATATATATAATTTTCTCTTTTAAAAATTAGCAGGGTTGATCATTGGACTCTACTTCGAAAAATCTAATAGCTTCGGTGGTGTGGACCACGTAAAAAAAATTTGCTCAAACTGTGATCCTTTGCTAACATACAAGTTAATATAGGTTTTAATTTTTTTCTTATATTATACATCTAATTTACCAATTCGTGTTTGTGGGGATTAATATTTGATAAATTTATTAAAATTATTTGTGCTAAATGTTAATACTATTTTGCTGGGGACGACATAAAAAACAGATACAATGTTGTAACACATATGGATGTTTGTTTTTTTCTTTTTTTTCTTTTCGGACAAATATTTGTTTATCATAGGAATAGGGCGTGCGTATTTGTATTCATAATGTGCGTCCGCACGCATTTATATGAGCTCATGTGATTGCCTTTTAAATTGTTAGTAAAAAAAGTATTTTTAAAAATTTGACAGGAAGAGGGTGGAGCAACGGGTGGCATGAGATAGCGCCGTGGCAAGGAGTGATCACTACATATATGCTCAATTTAGAAAAAAAACCTTAGATCTAGAAAGAAAGAGAAAACAACCATATGGGATAAATCATATACACACTCTTCTTCTTTTTCCTTTTTATATATCTTGCGTAGATATGTACATTGGAGTTGTGTATGTACGTAAGGAGTGATTAGATGATTTTTAGACAGAGGGATTATTATCGTAGATCTAATTTAATGGTTGAAAAATAATGGATCACCGATTTTGTCTGTAATTAGATGGTTTTTAGACAGAGGGATTATTATCGTAGATCTAATTTAATGGTTAAAAAATAATGGATCACCGATTTTGTGTATAAATCGGTGAATATTATTTTTATTTTATTTTACAGTTTTTCTTAGATTCTTTCTAATTAGAGCATCACATGACATCTTAGAAGCGTTTGTAGGAGTATAGAAATGCTATTACTCATAGTCACAATCTATCTGTAGTCAACTATTGTTGCGGTGGATTAGTTGCATCCTCTACTTACCTATAATTTGTTGATCGTTGCACACTTAGAATTGCCTTTTATCTTTGGTGTTTGATGACATACATGCTCATTAGATATCAGCTAACCGGCCGTTAGGTGCATTGTGCACGAATACCTCGTAAGTAATATGACTTGGTGATTAGTAAATAGTGACTTATATATAAAACTTACATATATGGGGAATTGGGGATCATTGAGGATATACAATTGATAATTTAGGCTAGGATCGATTGACGAAGTATATTGCATACTATATATTAATTTTTTAATACCTAAGTAATAAATTTAAGACAATGTTGTAAAGTGCTTATAAGATTAGCTACTCCCTATTTAATTTATTTGGTTTTTATCTCATGAGAGTGAAAAAGAAAAAGAAAAAATAAAAAGAAAGGAAGGAAGGGGAACGACGTACACTAACGAAGTATATGTACGTACATGAACGTACACGTACGCGAGTGATCGACGTGGATGTGTGGCTTTCTGAATTCTAAAGATGAATTAAATATATTTGGTATTTTTAGATCTAACGGTTAAAAATATGGGTCCACCAGATTAAATGAAAATCAATGGCTAGATATTTTAAATGTCACTTAGCAGCCTTGGAGCGTTTGTAGAGATGCCACGTGGCGGCTTGAGAGCGCTTGTAGGAAGTTTAATGGACTTTTAGTATATAATAGATAGATAACTTCGTGATGGTGTTCTAATGCCTGTCACAAACTCACAATATGTCTTCTTGGTGACTGTGTTTACATCGCCATCACGAAATCTGTGGGGCAGTCCGAAAAAAATGATTTTCTAGTAGTGAAAGCAGCAAGTGGGAGAAATGAATTACAAGTCTGCTCTTCTTTCTCTTTCTTCCTCCCAAGTCAAGCCTATTGAATGTTCTTTGATGTTAATTACCTGTTTTTGGCCACTTACAAGTTTAATTAGGTTCAATGTATCTCTCTATCAGTTGCAAGTTGAGAGAAACAATCATATCTTCATATATACGAAGATATAGTTGGGACCCACTAAGGAACATTTACTCCTATGAAGCAATATAAGTAAGAGGCCACATTATCAACAATTTTAAGCTATTATATTGCAATAGTACAATATTGTGAGCTTTTGGATTAAGAAGCTACTCATCCATCTAATTCAATCATTGATTACTTATCCATTCACCTTCCTTTTCTCCAGCTCATAGTCACACATGACACTTCATCCATCTAATTCAATCATTGATTACTCATCCACATGCTGACTTATCTTTTGTATTAATACAACTCATATTATTGCTTAAGATGTGATCTTTGTTTTATTATGAGCAATTGGATAGCATACAATTATTAGGGATCATAAACCTGAACCCAGAACGAGGTTGAGATGAAGCGGAGAGGCGCAAATTATCTAATTGTGACGATACCAAAATTGCTCATGAAAATAACATTCATATATCAAAACAATAAATAATCACATTTTAGAAAATAAAGCATGCATTATATTGTAACAGCAGAGAATAAGTCACATTATCATATATTTTGTATATACATAAAGTTACATCTAACCATTTAAAATTTTAATTTTATTTGATGATGAAACTAACAAATCCCGCTTATTAAAAAGAGCCCTACCACTGGGCTATCTTTAGTTAATGAATCTTGTAGCCCGCATGCGCTTTTAAATAAGACAGAGGTTGTGGGGTACACAGTACCCGAATACACCAAGCTAGGCCCTTGTTAATGGGCCTAGAGGTAGGATAGGCTCAAGGCCTATCCGAATAACTTGTAATCTAAGAAAGGGATTAAAGATAAGACTATAAATCTTATCCGATGTAAATAGATGGTACGTATCCGGATCATGACAAATCTAGATAACTATCCATTGCCGGTTCCCCGTTTCTATATTACGGTGGCCGGAAACCCTAATTCGGGTGATCGCTAGTTTCAACGCCATACCGCAAAACTCTTACATAGATCTAATCCACATAATTGGACTAGGGTATTACCTCTTGCCGAGGGCCTGAACCAGTATATAATCTGTGTGTCACCATCTCTCATTCATCTTGTGCACCCCATTGACGCATTTCTTTTATTATTTTCAGGTGGTGATGCAAAATGCAAAATACAACATTCTTTGTAGATAGAAAATCAGGCAATTATATTGAAGCAACCTCATATATGCTTAGATGATAGAAAAGCTGTATAGGGTTAGTATATGCAAAGGTGAAAGCACCCATGAATTCATTGTGGTTCTTGAGCTCGCCATAGTACCAGCCTGCAATCTGATATTGTGCAATTCAGCCAAATTAATTAGAAAATAAGATTCATAGATGGGGTAGAAAGTAATAATAAAAATCAATATTGCCATCCACCCTGATAATGATGCTATTGGTAGTTTTCTGAACATTGGACAAACAGAGAGTAGCATGAATAATATGATCAGTTGTGCTTGAATCTTCTCGCAAGGAGGCTAGATATATATCCTTTCTATTAACTACTGGGAGGGGTAATTCTCATCCTCATCCCATTACACATTCTTCCTAACAAATCCAAAGATTACTTTTATAAACACTCAGTAACGGAGTAGCATCTGAAAGCCCCAAAGCAAGTCACTGTATCTGTCGAGAATGCATGATTACAATCTGAGATATAAGGATTCTATATTTGGGACCAATTGATTGCACGTTATAATCTTAGTAGCTAGTATATATCTTAATTAGGTCGAGTCGTCGTTTTTCTCGCAAAATAGATCAAATTTGTTGATCCAAAAGGAGTAGATGACGCCAGGGATGTAGCCGCATATAGTAAGCAGCAAGCAAATCCAGAACTCCTTCTGCCAATTAAGCCAAGCACCGAAAGCTATAGCAACTAATGAAAACAAGTTTGTTCCTCTTGAGAACATCAGAAACTAAGTAAAACCTGCAAATTTGACTCACCTCGCAGTGGTGCCTTATGAAAACAGGAAGCGGAGGAAGAATGATGGTAACGATTATGTAGAATATGTATGCGCATCCCATGAAGCAACAAAGCACGCATGATGTACATAACCATGCAAAGATGTTCTGGTCGTCCATCATGAAGTGCCCCATCCTGTCTCAGATCAGCAACTCCTCGCTCACACTCGATACGATAACACCAGCTGACAAGCTAGAGCAAGAAATGGGCCCTGTATCTGTTGGCAATTTGGGTGTAAACAGTATCCCTATGTGCTTTGGGGATATAGCGCGATATGTGAGTACTAAGGACTTGTTATAATGACTAGCGGAGAGCCAGTTTGACCCGCTCGATCGTCTGGCTGGCTCTCGGCGATGAAGCCTCTCTTAAGGGAAGACACATTGACTTTCGATATATTTTTGTTCTCCTCTACCGAGCACCTACTAAGAATTAATATAATCCCTCCATTCTAAATTATAAGTCATTCTAACTTTCTTAGAGAGTATAAACATCTTAAGTTTGACCAAATTTATAAAGAGAATTATAAAGATTTATGACGTCAAATAGATATACTAGAAAAATATAATTAACGAAGAATTTAATGATAGTTATTTGGTATCATAAATATTATTATTTTATTATATAAATTTGATCAAATTTGAGATTGGTTTGACTCTCCAAAAAATTGAAATGACTTGTAATTTGGAACGAATGGAGTATACAGTAGTAGTATATTGGTGAAGTGTTTCTTGTCTATAGCTCTCTACAACTCACTCAATGATCATGCATAGCTGTTCTGCTCAACCTCCTTCGGAACGTTCCGCTCCAGGACGAAAAACAGGATGTTCATTAGAATGCATGGAACCTTTGCAATTTGCATTTGAATAATATATACTCACAGTAGTACAACCTGGATTTTTTAATTTATCACCTCTTTGCACTACTATGCTCGTTATACCCTGATATAAGTACTCCCTCCGTTTAAAAAATAAACCAATCTTGATGGAGATGTGACATATCTCAGATATCCTTTTATTCATTCTAATTGTATTGGAATGTATCACATCCTCATCAATATTGGCCTCATCAATATTGGTTTATTTTGGGACGAAATGAGTATAATTGTAGTGCTATTAATTATTGTATGACCTGTCCTTTCGCGAGTATGAATGATCAGATTTCAGATCTTAAAAGGCCAGGTAAACCCGAAAGAATGAAGAGGGGCGGCAAGGCAGTTTGCAACTTGCAAGTTGAAATTGGGTTTGTGTATTCAATTGCACACGCAAGTCCTGCTGCCGTCCTCTACGGCCTGGGCATAGGTTGACTTCTTTTTTCTTTTCTTTTTTTTTTAAGGAATCATATGTTGAGTTGAGCTCGGAGCTTCTCGCAAGGAAGAGAAGGCTTGGCAGTTGTCACCTTGCAATGGCGATGGCGTCGAGCAGTGGAGACTGGAGAGCCATGTTCTAGCTCGGCCACGCCCACGCCCACACCCACGGCAGCAACCATGGATGCCAAACTGACGGTGGCAACTAGCTAGCTTAGCTGTGGTGATTGCCAGCAACTATTGAGCAATCAAGACTCTAATTCTTCGATGGTGGCGTCGGGCAACAACACGGCAGCACCGCTGGCGAATACGCTCCCGGCGGTCATTAATCCCCTACTGCTAGCAACGGCCTGCACTGGCTCTCCCAAGGGACTGGATCTTCTTCTCAACAGCAAGGTTGCAGCAGGTGATCAACGAGTGCTACCATTCGCACTTGGAAGCCAGAGATTTCGTGACCTGATATCAGCATATACCTCCAGCGACAGATCCTCCTTAGCGACGCCGACGCAGCGAATCCCTCCTCATGACGACCCAGAAGCACTTTTGGCAGAGATGCTGATGCTGGAAGGGGTCGCAGTTGATGGGGACACCGTGCTTCACGCGGTGGCCACCTATGGCGAGAATGATGACTTTCAGAAGTGTGCTCAAACTATGTGCAGCAAGGCGAGGCAGCTCCTCTTCAAGCAAAACAAGAACGGTGACACGCCCCTGCACTGCGCTGCACGGGCAGGTAAATCCCAAATGGTCTCTTGCCTCATTGATCTGGCCAGAGGCGGTGGCGGCGACGGCAACAGCAGCAGCAGCAGCAGCAACAATGGCGGGAGTACGGACAGAGTGAAGGAACTGCTGGAAACGGAAAACGAGCTTAAGGAGACGGCCTTGCATGAGGCTGTTCGCATTGGGGATAATGCTATGGTCGAGCTGCTACTGCAGGAGTATCCCGAGCTGGCCAGTTTTCCAAAAGACGGCACCTCACCTTTGTTCTTAGCCATCTTGCTGCAGGAGAACATCATCGTGGAGACGCTGTACAGTAAGAGCAACAAGAAGCTTTCTTACTCTGGACAAAAGGGACAAAATGCTCTTCATGCTGCTGTCCTCCGAGGCACAGGTATCACCAAACTACCAACCAACAAGTACCCTTCCTTCAATTTTGGATGGTTAAAAGTTTGCAAGTTTTCTTTAAAAATATACATATTTGCTTCTTCTTCTTCTTCTCCTTCTCTTCTATCTTTTCTTTCGCACCGGATATTTGCGAGTAAAATTGAAGTGGCCCGGCGAAAAGTAAGATTTAACTGCAAATTTACTTATGAGATGCCGTCCACCTAGAGTATATATTACGATTTGTTTTTAGTTATGTACGTTAAATTCCTTTTTCCATATTCTCTGTGTATGCTCTATTCGGTGCACATCTATTAGTCCTCTAGAATGTAGCTACGTGCAAGTACCCTTTTTGTGTTGAGAGCAATTTTGCCATCTAACATTTGTTATCTTGAGTTACCACAAATTTTTGTTAACTCGAGTTAGTACCTCGAGACACCGAGATCTTATGTCCAAAATATGATATCTCGAGACACCAAATGTTGGATGATAAAAATGCTACTGTGTTATACTTTATAATGAATTCCTCGATCAATAAATAAGCGCTAAACAGAAGAGAGTACACGATTTTCAGATGTCACTAGGAAGATACTGAAATGGAACAAGAATCTTAGCACGGAAAGGGATGAGAAGGGCAGTACGCCCCTTCACTTTGCGGCGGCCAAGTATTTCGATGTTGTGCGAACCCAGCTGGGACTGATCAGGCCGTTCTTCGCGGCTGCGGCGCTGAGACAATCGCGAGGAAGCGTGTGCTGGCTCGTCCTGGATGCTAATCCGGCCGCGCTGTACCAAGCCGACCATGACGGGTTGTACCCGATACATGTAGCAGCCTCGGTGGGCGCCGTAGGCTCCATCGCCATCTTCGTCGACGCGTCGCCCAGCTGCGCCGGCCTGCGCGACGCCAAGCGGAGGACTTTCCTTCACGTTGCCGTCGAGAGAGGGCAGATCGACGTCGCCGGTTATGCTTGCAGCAACAGGCTGCTGTCATGGGTTCTGAACATGCGAGACGCCGAGGGGAACACTGCCCTGCACCTTGCTGTGCAGGCCGGGAGCCTCCGAATGTTCTCCGTGCTGTTCGGGAATCGCCAGGTACGCTTGAACTTGACCAATAACAATGGGGAAACTCCTCTAGATATATCACGGTACAAGATCCCCAGAGGAATGTACTACGGTCAGGTAATTATTTCTCAACTGTGATAGTAATTTTTATTTTTCAAGAATAGTAATTAATAAGCTTTCTAGTAATTAATTGGAGAGAGGTTGTTTTCCTTCTTCTTTTGCAGAACAGTGAACCAAAAATACACGATTCGCTCGCACTCGCCGGGGCTACCAACGGCTCTTGTCGTTTGGATCATTTTCAGCAGAGTTATACTCAGCTGACCAAGCATGATGAAAAGGAGGAATCAGATAAGGTGAGAGATTCGACACAAACTCTAGCAATCGGCTCAGTTCTGCTGGCGACTGTGACGTTCGGTGCGACTTTCGCTCTGCCTGGAGGCTACAGAGCCGATGATCACGTCAACGGAGGTACACCAACACTTGCAGGGAGGTATACCTTTCATGCCTTCATCATGGCCAACACATTTGCACTTATCTTCGCCGCCATAGCTACCATTGGGCTCATGTACTCTGGATCCCCACTGTTCAACTCAAGGAGCCGCAAGACCTACTTGGTTACAGCCTTGTACTGCATGGAGACCTCGGTCGCCTGCTTGATTGCTACCTTCGCAGTGGGTTTGTATATGGTGCTAGCTCCGGTTGCTCACAAGACTGCCATAGCAATATGTGTCCTCAGCCCCGTTGTCCTGCTAAGCAAGAACATGGAGTTTTGGGTGAAGTGGGCCCTTCTTGCAGCACCACTATATAACAGAATGGGGCTACTATGGGCAATGCGAAACTTCGCTTCAGTACTACTGAAAAATACTCTATACGAGTGTTGGCCCTTCATATTGATCTTTAGTTGGGCCGCATATGCAAGGAACAGCTAGCTACCACAGTCTAAAGGACGGAACAACGACCAGCTAGCACCTTAATTTGGCTAGAAGCGCCATCACATGCTGTCTTCAGTATTACCATGTCATTGGAATTGTAGAATGGAGCAGCAATGCCAGCACCCAGCAGTGCGTTGCTTCAGGAAAAACTCTAGAGTATCTGTCTCTTCAGAATCTGTGACAACAAGATGTGTATGCATTTGTGTCAGCTTACATACTCCAAACCTTTCGTGTTTAAAATTGTTATAACTTACAAACCCCTTTTTTTTATATCTGACACCGTTGACTTATTCATGACGTTTGATTATTCATCTTATTTAAAAATTTAGTGTAAATACTATAAGTGTTGGAGAAACAGGAACTGGGGTCCCATTCCTCCGGGGCCTAGGACACCGTCAGCCTACAAGATCACTTTCTATCACATATATAATTCATTGCTAGGTCAGAAACCACGGAGGTGGAAGATGATAGCTAGCGTAGAAGGGGAACCCGGGCCCTTATCCAACCGGGGTCTGGGGCACCAATACCCTTTAAGGTTTTCATTTAAAAAGCCTCAAAAAGAGTGCCGAGATATACAAGATTTATATCTACAAAGTATCAAGAAGAGATCGGAAATGTACAATATCTATATATTCAAGGTATTGAAGTAGATACATCTAACATTGGCATATCCTCCAAGGTAATCTATATCATGAACTTCTTCATTAACGACATATTCAAGAAGTTTGTCAAAGTTAACAAGATTTTCGTCAAACGGCATGGAAGCGTATGAGTCCCGAGAGTACCTGTGGGCCCCGGGCACAAACCATGTCCCGAGCATGGACCGTGCCTTGGGAGTGCGGTCTGCGTGAGAATACAACGGCTAGGGGAAACAATATAGCCCCAAAGTAAGGATTAGGCATATCATTGCCATCTTGAAAGGTGAGCCTAGCGGTGCTTGTTGCTTGGGCTCAACCTATTAACTCCAGTGACGGCGCTTGTTGCCCTGGGCTTAGCCCGGGATCTCCTCCTCTTGGCTGTCTATGCAAGGAGGTGGGCTCAGCGATTGGACTGTGAGCGGCGGCATTAAGCCGTACCAGGGCGGCACCTAGAGAATTACCACTCAAGATTACAGCTCAATTACATGCAAGAACGAGGTGGCAAGATATGAAGTAATCAAGCTAGCCACGTCACCCAAAGGAACAGCGGTAGGGTGACGCGCCACGCACTGGAGAGCGGCGCATGAATTCACCGTGAAGCAATAAGGCGGGCTGCCAATCCACTTTTGGGCCCACCGAGCCCGGTTTCAGGACAGGTGGTGCGAGAAGCTTTCTCCAGCTATCTTGGGCTCCTTGCTCAGCCCTTCCGGGGCACAAGTGTAGGCCCGATCAGCAGCAATGATCATGTTCAAACTGATGAAACAAGAGGGACAATGACAAGATCAAGCATAGTCACTTCCAAATGCAAGAATGTAATAGTTGACTCCCCTTAGAGTATAAAAGGAGGAGTCTCGCTACTTAGAAGAGGGTTGAATGTTTGAAAGAACTGAGCCCATCCCGATGACTTGGAGGAGGCCGGGCTGGACGTGTTGGTGGGTGCATCACTGTAAGGCGGCTTGACGGCGAACCGCAAACATCCCCCGAGGGTCTTTCTATTGTGCGAGGATGGCAACTGGGTGAATCCAAAGCCAACTCCCCAACTTTGACGCCATGGGGATCGCCACAGTCAGGGGCGGTCATAGGCCACTAATATAGAGGCAGTCGTCGACTCCGCCTTGGAAGGTTCAGAGTCGCCAAGGACACTGCCTGCTCCCACCAAGCCCCTTTCGTGCAAGGAGGGGAAAAGGCCTGTTGCAAGGCAGCTCTGGTTCCGAGCACAAAGAGGCGGAAGTTGATCTTTCCGTGCTATGATGATGACGGTGACAATGACTCCATCGACCTGGGGGCCGATTATGTCGAATCCGGACTGCCCGATTCCTCTTGGCCGAGAATAATCTTCCATGCTCGAGACGCACCTTAGGTGGGGGTTGAGGGCGAGGTTGTCGTTGCCCCAGGGTCAGTGAGAGCACCGAGCAAGGACACCCCTACCAAGAAAGCCCCGAAAAGGGCTTCCCCGAGCGAGCCCATTTGGGGAGCAAAATCCCCAAAGTCGCGCCTGTCCATGAAGAAAGTTGTAACCTCAGGCCCCATCTAGGATCCCTTTGGAGCGCGGAAATGGACCTTCAAGGACCCGTTGGTCACGAAAGTTTCTTCTTCGTTTTTCATTTATTTGAAGCACTTCGTTGTTTTTATTTTCTTTTGCTTCCACTTCTTGTGCTTGAAATGGACCTTCAAGGACCCGTTGATGCAAGGATCCAAAAGAAGAGATATTCGCACCATCGCACCCCATGAATGGTGAGCAAAGGGTGTAATTAATTTTTGTGGTTTTATGTGACAACCTGCTTAAGTTGCAGAACGAAAATACCACCCCTCCAATTGATTTCTTCTACATGTTCACCACCTCCAATTGCTTTCTTCTACATGCTGCACCTGAGGATGTATTATTAACCAGATTAATGTCATGTAACAATGACATCAACAATAGAATAAGTGGTCTAATCAATATAGTAAAAGTAAAAAACACCGGTGATGGAACCATAACAGGATAGCCACGCTCTCGTCCTCGCTGAGCGACTCGCCGGGCGCCTCCCCGGCCCTAGTGCCCACCCCCTGGCCGTCGTCCACCCCCTCCCCCCCCGCCTCTGTCAGCCCCCTCTCTCCAGATAGCTCTAGGTTGTTCCCAGAACGCGTCAGTTTGGGCTCACTCTCCGGTGATGTCTCCGACGGGGGCTCCCTAGATCTGTTTCGTCCACAGGTCCTTCTAGCCGATCTGGCCTTGTCCGAGGGCCCTGAGTAGGTGGCGCACTCTCCGCTCCTGCGGAGGGATGGCGTCTTCTCTCATGCCTCCCCTCGGTTGTTGCCTACAGTTACTGCTTCACCGGCCTCCTACAAGCAACAATGGCGGCGACTTCGGCCCCGCGCCTTCCCAAAGCAATCTTGGAGAATCGTCCTCAGCACTGCGTATCCGTCGCCCAGCGCGTTTCCGTCGCCCCCTGTTAGGCTTGGCAGGAGGTAAAGCCGAAGCACTGGTGGAGAAAGAAATCTGCTCTGCCTCCCCCTGCATTCAAGTCGGAGCTGGCATTGAAGCTTCCTCACCAACTGGCCTCTAGAGAGGGGTCAAGCAGAGGGATTCAAATAGGATTTCCTATCTTGAGCTCTTTAAAAGGAAGGCGGCCGGAAGGTGCTTTCGCTGCCTCTCAAAGGACCACCGCATCGCTGACTGCAGAGAGCCACTAAGGTGCATCCTTTGCGCCGCGTCGGGCCACCGCGCCCGCTGGTGTCCTGAAAGCCAGCCCAAGCAAAGAGGGGTTTAGCTACTGCGCCCGGCCCCTCCTCTGGCAAGCAGGTTGAATTTCCCCCAGCTGCCAACAATGTCACGCCGTGGGGACCCCGCGAACAGGCAAGACATCATCTAGTGTTGTCTGCCAAGGACGGTGGCCATCAAGGAGTAAGAAGGATTCCTCACCAAGTCGGCTGCGGTGATCCGGGTCATTGGTAATATGCCAGTGACAAATGCGCGCCAGATAAACAGGCTGCTGGCGTCTAGGTTCCAGGTGCCTTGCGATGAGCTGACGGTTGTCGTCTTCCCCCAAGGTGGCTACCTTGTCACCTGTCAGTCTTGCTCCGTCAGGGACAGGATGGTGGAGGCAAGCCCTTTCTCGATGGAGGACTTGGAGCTATCAGCACTGGTCTGGTCAAGGCGCATCCAGGCCGACCTGCTTGACTGGCACTACAGCATCCGTGTCTACTTTGAGGGCATTCCTAGCCATGCTTGGTCTGTCGAGACAATTGCAGATATTCTCGATGAGGGCTGCCTGGTTCAAGACCTTGATAAGCCGAGGACAGAGAACGAGATCGCTTGAATGTGCGTTTGGCTGTAGGCTGATGATCCTGACTCCATCCCAAAGGGAGTTCATTTTCAGCTAGAGGAGCCTCTGCCGCTGGCCTCTCCGGATACGAGCTGGCCAGTCGAGGACCAACCTGAGCGGCGCCGTCTGAGGCCGCTGAAGCTGTTGGCATATCGGGTGCTTGTTCACCTTGATCAGGTGCTTGATTACCGCCCTCCGTCAACGGAGCCGGTTTGGAGGTACAGCCCGGAGATCTAGGCCAGCGGCATCGTTTCCCCTATCTCCATCGATGATGACGGCCCGAAGCGCTTTGATTTCATTTGGGCGCTGGGCGTCAAGACGGCCAGAGGGCTCCTCGCGAGCTGGTTTCTTCTAGGCATTGTTTTAAACAGGGATCGCTCCCGCTCTCGTTCACGCTCCCTGCCTGTGAGGGAACGAGGGAGGGCGTCGGGCTGGGATGTCCCACAGACGCTAGGAAACTTCCGCTTGAGGCAATCTTCTTCCAGGTCGACAGGTAACAGGGGAAGCCACTACGACGGTGGTGGCTACAGGCGTGCGGTGGGTTCCCCGGTCAGAAGGGAGAGGACCAGGTCTCCCCATGCGTGGTCGTCACCCCCCCCCCCCCCCCGCCCCGCGAGACCCCACAGCCGACAAAGGGACTATTGGCTTCGCTCGAAGCTCAGGTTCCGCCTCAGGTTTTGCTTCAAGAAGAGCCCCCACTGCCGGAGGCCCCTCTTCCTCCGCAGCCACCGTTGGCACCACCTTCGGACCCCCTGTCTCAGCTGCAGGTCACTGCTCTGTTTGTCCCAACTCTTGCTGACCTAATGTTGGAGGAGAAGTCTGCTTCTAGACTTGGTCCCTCCAGGCTAGGTGATCTTGCACAGGAGGTGCTGATGAAGAGGGCCGGCCTGATTCCACCTGATAGCAAGAGATAAGAGGAGGCCACAGCGAAGTACGTCAAGCTGTTCAAGCAGCCGCTTACCCCTGATGTGATTGAAGCTTTCTCCTCCTTGGTTGCGGGCTGTGCCATTGGGGAGGTCAAGAAGAAGAGCAAGTGATGATTTATCTTACCACTATTATCAGTTTGTGGTCGTTGTTATGCTTTTGTTGGGTGGTTTTATCTCAACTGCCTAGTAACTCTAGTCCTAAACCAGTCGATGCATGTCTTAAAATCTGTAGTGTGCCTGTGTTGTCACAGTTTGAGGAGCTGACAAACCTCATGTATCCATCTAGTTGTGTTCTAGGGTATGTGGCTTGGTCTATGTATGAAAGGGGGTGTTGCAAACTGTGTCTCCACTCTGTGAATGTTTCCCTCTCAGCTCATGGAGCCAGATCTTCCCCAGGTTCACAACTAAGACCAGGGACCTTG